GGTGGACGATGGGCGGTGGGCAGTGGGCGGTTGGCGGTGGGCGGTGGACGGTGGGCGGTGGGCGGTGGGCGGTGGGCGGTGTCCGGTGGGCATGGACGGTGGGCGGTGTCCGGTGGGCATGGATGGTGGGCGGTGGACGGTGGGTGGTGGGCTTTGGTCGGTGGGCGGTGGGCGGTGGAGGGTGGGCGGTGGAGGGTGGTCGGTGGGCGGTGGAGGGTGGGCGGTGGGCGGTGTCCGGTGGGCATGGACGGTGAGCGGTGGAAGGTGGGTGGTGGGCTTTGCACGGTGGGCGGTGTGCGGTGGGCGGTGTGCGGGGTGCGGTGGGCGGTGGGCGGTAGGCGGTGGGCAGTGTTCGGTGGGCGGCAGGCGGTTGGCGGTGGGCAGTGGGCGGTGGGCGGTGGAGGGTGGGCGGTGGTCTGTGGGCGGTGGGGGGTGGGCGGTGGGCGATGTACGGTGGGCGGTGGGCAGTGGGCGGTGGGCGGCGTACGGTGGGCGGTGTGCGGTGGGCGGTGGGCTGTGGGAGGTGGACGATGGGCCGTGGTCCGTTGGTCGTGGGCGGTGTGCACCGGGCGGTGGCGGGTGGCCGGTGTCCAGCGGGCGGTGGGCGGTGGACGGTGGGCGGTGGGCGGTAGACGGTGGGCGACGGGCGGTTGACGGTGGGCGGTGGACACTGGGCGGTGGGCAGTGGGCGGTGGACCATGGGCATTGGGCAGTGGACCGTGGGCGGTGGGCGGTGAACGGTGAACGGTGGGCAGTTGGCGGTGGGCGCTGGGCACTGGGCGGTGGGCGGTGGGGTGGGCAGTGGACGGTGGGCGGTGGACGGTTGGCGGAGGGCGGTGGGAGGGGGACGGTGGACGGTGGGCGGTGGCCGGTGGACGGTAGGCGGTGGGCGGTGGGCGGTGGGCATTGTGCGATGGGCGGTCTGCGGTGGGCGGTGGGTGGTGGGCGGTGGGCCGTGGGCAGTGGGCGGTAGGCGGTGGGCAGTAGGCGGTGGCCGATGGGCGGTGGGCGGTGGGCGGTTGGCGGTTGGCGGTGGGCGTTGGGCAGTGGGCGGTGGGCGGAGGAGGGAGGACGGTGGGCGGTGGACGGTGGCCGATGGGCGGTGGCCGGTGTGCGGTGGGAGATGGAAGATGGAAGATTGAAGATGGAAGATGGACGATGGAAGATGGAAGATGGAAGATGGAAGATGAAAGATGGAAGATGGATGATGGAACATGGAACATGGAACATGTGAGATGGATGATGGATGATGGAAGATGGATGATGGAAGATGGAAGATGTATGATGGATGATGGATGATGGAAGATGGAAGGTGGAAGATGGAAGATGGATGATGAATGATGGATGATGGAAGATGGAAGATGGATGATGGATGATGGATGATGGAAGATGGAAGATGGAAGATGGAGGATGGAAGATGGAAGATGGAAGATGGTAGATGGAAGATGGAAGATGGAAGTTGGAAGTTGGTATATGGAAGATGGAAGATGGAAGATGGAAGATGTAAGAAAGATGGAAGATAGATGGAAGATGGAAGATGGAAGTTGGTATATGGAAGATGGAAGATGGAAGATGGAACATGGAATATGGAAGATGGAAGAAAGATGGAAGATAGATGGAAGATGGAAGATGGAAGGAAGTTAGAATATAGATGGAAGATAGATGGAAAATAGATGGAAGATAGATGGAAGATGGAAGATGGAAGATAGAAAATGGAAGGTGGAAGATGGAAGATGGAAGATGGAAGATGGAGGATGGATGATGGAATATGGAAGATGGAGGATGGAATATGGAATATGGAGGATGGAAGATGGAAGATGGACGATGGAAGATGGAAGTTGGACGATGGAAGATGGAAGATGGAAGGTGGAAGATGGAAGATGGAAGATGGAAGATGGAAGATGAAAGATGGAAGGTGGAAGATGGAAGATGGAAGATGGAAGATGAAAGATGAAAGATGGAAGATGGACGATGGACGATAGACGATGGAAGATGGACGATGGAAAATGGAAGATGGACGATGGAAGATGGAAGATTGAAGATAGAAGATGGAAGAGGGAAGATGGACGACGGACGACGGAAGACAGAGGATGGAAGAAGGAAAAGGAAAGGGGGAAGAGGGAAAAGGGAAGAGGGAAAAGGAAAGAGGGAAGAGGGAAGAGGGAGGGGGAAGGGGGAAGATGGATGAGGGAAGAGGGAGGACAGAAGAGGTGAGAGGGAAGAGGGAAGATGGAACAGAAGATGGACGAACCGACAGCCTAACGGCCGACGCCCGATAGCCGACAGCCCGACAGCCGACATCCTGACAGCCGACAGCCGATGCCTGACAGAAGACGCTCGACAGCCGACACTGGACAGTTGACGGACGACAGACGACCGCCGGCGCCCCACGGGCGACATCCCGACAGTCGACAACCGATGCCCGACAGCGGACGCCCGACAGTCGACAGCCGACAGCTGACGGTTGACAGACGACGACGGACGCCCCACAGCCAATGGGCGACGCCCGACCACCGGCGCCTCACAGCAGACGCCCGCCAGCCGACGCCTGACAGCCGATGCCTGATAGCCGACGCCCCAAATCCGACACCCAATGCCCGACAGCCGACGCACGACAGCCGACACCCGACATACGACAGCGACGCTCGAGACCCGACACCTGAGACCCGACACCCGACGCCCGACAGCCGACGTCCGACAGCCGACGCCCGACAGCCGTCGTCCGGCAGCTGACGACCGACAACCGACGCCCGACAGCCGACGCCCGGCAGCTGACACCCGACAGCCGTTGCCCAGCAACGGACAACCGACGCCCGACAGCCAACGCCCGACAGCCGACGCCCGAGACCCGACGCTCGACACCCGACGCCCGGCATGCGGCACCCGACAGCCGACTCCCAACAACTGACGCCCGACAGCTGACGCCCGACAGCCGACTCCCAACAGCCAACGCCCGACAGCCGACGCCCGACAGGCGACCCCCATAGCCGACGCCCGACAGCCGACGCCCGACAGCCGATGCCCGACTGCCGTCACCCCGCAGCCGACGCCCGATGCCCGACAGCTGACGCCTAATAGCCGACGCCTGACACCCGATGCCCGACACCCGACGCCCGACACCCGACGTCCTTAGTAGAGCCAACCTTGGTCGCAATGTAGTCAAACGCTTCCAGAGCCTCGGAGGGCGAGCGGTAGATGTTGGGTGATAGCAGATGCACCAAGTGGTCTTCCACCCACCTGGAGCAATGGAGAGAGAGTAGAGAGAGGTGTACAAAGGTACAGTAACAATAGGGGCGGATGAATGGTGAGGGGAAATGATGGTGGAATACGATGGTGGGGAATCTATGTTGGAACATGAACGGTGCCCTCCCCTCCCCCCTCCCGCCCCCTGCCCCTTCCCCCCCTTCTTCCCACTCACATGCGCCATCTGGTCTCCTCGTCCAACTCCTCCCCCCCCCCTGCCCCTACGCCACGCCCCTCTTCCCCACATGCCCCACACTCGCCACCATACCGCCGCTGCTGCCACTGCTGCCCCCACCACTCGCGCTACCGCTGCTAGTGCCGCTGCTGCTGCCACTGGTGCCGTCGATGCTGATGGCATAGGCCCCAGGGGCAGCAGGCGCCGCAGCCGCAGGGGCAGGGGCAGCAGGAGGGATGTTGGTGGCCTTGAAGGGGTTCAGACAACGGTGCAGCTCGGATATAATGGCTGGGAGGGGGGGAGGGGGGGGGAGAAAGGGGGAGGGAAGGAGGGGAAGGGGGGAGATAGAGGAGGAAAGGGTGGGGGAAGTTTCGGGAACAGCGGCACGAGCAGCAAGAGAAGCAGCAGGGTGGGATGCTGGTAGCCTTGGAGGGGTTCAGTCCTTGTTGGTGGCCTTGGAGGGGATCAGTGCTCGAATGTGATGGCTGGCGCGAGTTGGGGGAAAGAAAGCTAGTGGGGGGGGGAAGGAGGCGAACCGCAGGATGGGCTGGATTACACCCAACCTTTACCGTAAGCTTTGGACCGGAGTGCTTTCGACCGGAGTGCTTTGGACCAACGGCCCAAAATTCTGCAATTTGGGTCAACGGCCTTAAAACCCGCAGCCCAAATTGCGAGGCGCGGCCTTCAAACGCACCGCGTTTGAAAGTAGCGCTTTCGTTGGTGGAGTGGGGTAATGTGAGTCTCGCCACTCTGGGGGTGCCTTTCAAGTTCATTGCGTGCTGCAATTTGGAAATCCATGTGTAGCACGTTTTTTCGACCGTCCATTTTTCACATATGTGCATCTGACGGTTCGCAAGCAAACTCTTCTTTCCAAAGCACCACCAGTAATTCGGGGCTCAATCTCAACCGTCCAAAATCTTGGGGTCGAATCTGACGGTGCACAAACACTTCGAAGTTCACGAGGAAAAACACCCTCGCGATTTTCCTGTGCGTTTAGTAAAGCAGCGCACCCAGAGTTCTTACAGAGTGCGTTTGAGCAATTTGGGCCTCGGGTTTTAAGCTTGTCGGAATAAGAGGTGCAGCGTTAGTGTGATTTTGCCATATTGAGCAGGAATCTGTGAGTTCATGTTGTGGGGGCATCAATGACGTCACCGATTGCTTCTGATTGCTCGAGACATTTGTGGTGGCTAAATCATTCGCGAGTCACCGACAGTATTCGCCAGACTCGCATACCAATAGGTGCTTCTACTGTACAGTATCTGCATTCTCTGGCACGACTTGGCCCTGCACCTGCGCTTCGGTATCCCGCTAATCACGGCGCCCATCCACCCTCCCCTCGAGCTTTGACTGCCCCCCTCCATCCCCTCCTCCGCCCCTTTCTCCCCATTTTCGCCCATTCTCCCTCCTGAACATTCCCCCCATGACCCTCCAGGTTCCCCCTCTCGCCCTCTGCCCCAATTTTCCCTTCAGCTAATCTTCCATCCCTCCCCCGTTCAGAGACCGCAGGGATTCAGGATTCAGCAAACTCAGGAGGAATCAGGAGGATGCACCTGCTGCTTTCTGCACTCGTGGAAACATACAGGTTGCAGATATGCCCTACCCTAGCAATTCTCAAACATTACTTTCTCTGCTCCATGTGCATTGTGCTGTGCAGTGTGCACTCCGCTACCCCTGCTTGCTGCTGCTGGCTCGGCCATTGTTGCACGCCGTCGCCATTTCGAATCGTACCCTGATTCTCCAAACGGCTGCATATTTTTTAGCTCATGCCTATTTTGCCCTGCTATCGGATGCCCGTGACCGCGTTCAGAGAACCAGCTTCCTTTATTTCCGTGGGAAGTTACTGCGGTTCCAACATCCGGTGGAGTGATCGGTTTCAATAACGTATAGATTCGATCGGTCAGCTGCTGGCAGCCGGGTTACCGTAACACTTGTTGACACGCCAGCCGACTCTCCAATGGCTTCGTCCGCTCTCAGTCCACGTTCGTTACGCAATGGATTATAGTGGCTTGTCTAGAAAGCCCTGACGGTTGATTGCAGCAGATCACAGCCGTTAAAATTCACACCGTAGTAGTAGCCTCGAAGGTATCGGCCGTTGATTGAAACCGCTCATTGTCGTTAGATTCGCACAGTCCGTCTGACTATACTTCCGCTCCTCTCATATAGTCACACGTGCGGTTTCGGCATTTCGCAGCCATGGGTGTGCAGGACCGGACGAAGAGGGATGACCACACTAAAGGTGCGTTCACCGAACCAAATCGTGTCAGATGTTTTTACACCAACATGTGATACTTCTCGGCTTTCCGGATGACTCTTAAGACAGTTTGTCGGACACACAAGATCATTCAGAACTCAAACGTGCTCATTGAGGGTGTGATCTCGATCATTTGACCGTGTGACCGTAACTTTTGGACCGTTTGACCATAACGACTTGACAATGTGATCATAACGATTAGACGAGTGACCAACAAGCTGAATGTAACCGCAATACCACGTGGCATGAGCAGGCGGTGCCACGGTGGAGATGAGCGACAGCAGCAGGTGGCAGGAGGGCGGATTCAGCATCGACGCTGACGAGCTCTCGCGAATGTCGCACCCGGGCGATCATGCGAAGCTGCAGTCGCTGGGAGGAGTGAGTGGTCATAGGGGCGAAAGGTCGAGTGAGCATGGGAAATTAACTGGGAATGGATCTTGGATGGGTGCGTGCGAGTGTCGGCATAAGGCTAGGCATGTGCACGGGCATTTAGCAGGCGTTCGGGCATGTGCACAGATACAGGCCAGACATGCGTTGGTCATTCGGTCCCTCCTCATTCACCCCACACTGCACCCAGCCAAGCCTCTCCGCACCCTCCTCTACCCCTCCCAAATCCTCTCCCCCCCCCAATCCCTCCGTCCCACTGGCGCGCGTTGGCAGCTAGCGGGCGTGGCGGAGCGGCTGCAGGTGGACCCGAAGAGGGGCATCGACGACACGGAGGAGGAGACCGCCCGCCGCCGCCTGCACTTCGGCTCCAACACCTACCCCGAGAAGCCCGGCAAGACCTTCTGGGTAAGGGAGCCATTCCTGAAAGAGGCAAAGATGCAAGTCATGGAGGGGGTAGCCTGTCGGCACCTGCACCTTGGCAACTGCACATACCCGAAGAGAACCAGCAAGTTCTTTTGGGTTCGTGAGGGCCTCAATGGTGGATTCAGGAGCACAAGGTGGGAGGTGAAGGGCCGTAAACCCTGAGCCTTAAACCCAGACTCCTCGCAGCATGCTCCCTCGCTTCCGATGCCTCTCATCCCGTGTCCTTCTAAGCGAGGACTCTCCCCTCCGCCACCCCGCTCCTTCCCTCCCTCCCCTCCCTCCCTCCCTCCCCTCCCTCCCCTCCCTCCCTTTCCTTTCCTGTCAAAGCAGTACACTTGGTGTGGGAGGAGGCCATGCAGGAAATACGTTGGTGCAGATCCTCCTTGTGTCAACCAGTGGCTAGCCTCGCCCACTCTGCTCTGCAATCCTCTTCCCCATCGCTCCTCTCATTCCACCCCCCTCCCGCTCCCCCCGAGTTCTTCGTGTGGGAGGCGATGCAGGACACGCTGGTGCAGATCCTGCTTGGGGTGACCATTTCTGCTTGGGGTGCCGACCTCGTCCTCTCTGCAAACTTTCCTTTTTATTTCCCCCTTTCCTTCCCCCCATCCAGTATTTCGTGTGGGAGGCCATGCAGGACACGTTGGTGCAGATTCTCTTTGTGTGCGCCATCGCGTCTATCGCTGTGAGCATCCCCGCCGAGGGCTCCCTGGAGGGCCTCTACGACGGGCTCGGCATCTTCATCGCACTCTTCCTCATCATCACCGTCGCCGGTCAGACCCCCCTCCCCCCCCCCCCCCCGCCCCCTCTTCCCTCTTTTCATCTTACGCACTCCCCGTTCTAAGGGATATGTTAATGCAATTAAAAAAAACCTCTCAACTGACGCCCTCCCCTCTCATTTCATGCGCCCCCCTCCCCCCACCCGCCCACGTTGATCTCGTTGCATCATCACCTTCGCTGCTGAGACCCCCCTCTCACTCGACGCCCATCCCCTAGCACTCGTCCTCACCATCACCATCACGGGTCATGCTCTACTACCCCATCCACAGCTGACATGTCGCCACCACCTCCCATTCCCCCCCCCCCAAACCCTCCCTCCTCCCAACCCCATCTATCTCCCTCCCTCCCCCCCCAACGTGCGTGCGTGCAGCCATCAGCAACTACCGGCAGGCAGTGCAGTTTCAGAAGCTCAACCGCGAGAAGAAGAAGATCCAAATCGAGGTGAGGCAACCGCTTTCAAGTTGATCGATTGTTATTCAATCGGGGGGATGCCGAGCTGGACTTGAGACAGCGGGTGACAGGGTGAGTAGGATTGCAGGGCGACAGAAGCAAACTGCAGAGCGAGCGTTTGAGGTGCTGTGCTGCGTTTTATGGCGCCCCATTGTGGAGTCTGTCCGGTGTCCCATCATGAGCCGATTCTAACCTGTCATGCCCACATCAGGTCACCGGACCCTCACTTCACAATGTCATGCCCCCCTATCCGACCCGTCATGTTCTCCCTTGGCCTCCTTCATTCCCTCGTTTCCTGCTCGATGCCATCTCCCCCCTCCTCCTCCCCCCATCCCCCCAGGTGACGCGCTCGGCGCGGCGGTGCAAGGTACTGATCGACGATCTGGTGGTGGGGGACATCATCCACCTCTCCACGGGCGACCATGTGAGCCACGCACTGCTCTGCTCCCCTCGCTCCCATGCACCCCTCGCCTCTCAACCCCGTCCCTCCTCCACTCTCCTCACTGCACCCCTCCTTCTCCTTCTTGCCTGCTCTTCTGCTCCCCCACCCTTGCCTGGCTAGCCCACCTACCTCTGATCACATGCCTTGGGAGTCCTCCCGTTACTTGGACGATCCTAAGCTACGCCTCACAGCCAGCATTCCCTGCGTGCACTGGGCTGCCTTCCTAACAGGTGCCGACCGACGGGGTGGTCATGGAGGGGCACTCGCTCGCAGTCAACGAGTCCAGCATCACAGGGGAGTCCGAAAATGTGAGCGCTGCCCTGCAGCTGGCCTTCTGGCATTCTCGTAGGCGTCGGCATTGGCATAGTGATGTGATGGCGCTGACGTCGATGTTGCTGTGTATGGTGGTGTGGCGTGGGCGGCAGGTGCACAAGGACGAGGGCAACCCCTTCATCCTCGCTGGCTGCACCATCATGGACGGCTTTGGAGAGATGATGGTGAGAGACAGGCACGCTGGCCAGGACGGGGAGAGGCACGCTGGCAATGATGGTGAGAGGCGGGGTGGCAATGGGGTTAAGAGGAGGCACAGTGGTGATAAGATGATACCGGCATATGCTAGCAGGGGTGACAGTAAGGCTGGTGAGAGTGGGTAAGTGCACTGAGGGGTCTTGCATGGCAAGGATCATGGTGGCCATAGAATGAATGCCGCTACAATGCTGGCGTGGAGGTGAATGTCCCCATGTTGGCATGCCCCCATGTTGGCATGCCCCCATGTTGGCATGTCCCCATGTTGGCATGCCTCCATGTTGGCATGCCCCCATGCTGGCATGCCCCCATGCTGGCATGCCCCCAGATTGTCATGTGGACATTTAAACAGTACGAGATGGTGCTGTGTGAATTGAGATGGTGCGTGGCTCGACCGGCCCCTTCCTGGCACTGTTTCCCGCCGTGCCCACCCATTCAGGTGACGGCGGTGGGCATGAGGACGGAGTGGGGCAAGGTGCTGGCCACCATCACAGAAGACAGCGACGAGCCCACGCCGCTGCAGGTGAGATTGGAGCCCATTTCAGCCATGCTGCGGGAAATGAGCCCATGATGTCGTTCTTGGGTCGTCCTCGCCCTCCCTGCCTTCCCCACCAGGTGCGGCTAACCAAGGTGGCCGCGCTGCTGGGCATCACTGTGCACGCCCTCACCTTCCCCTGCGTCTCATTCTCCACCCCCTGCCATTCCCAACACCCCCTTCTGGCCCTCCCTCTCATCCGCACCACCCCCCTGCCCTCCGTGCCCTCCCTCCCCACCAGGTGCGCCTGACCAAGGTGGCGGAGCTGCTGGGCATCATGGGTATCATTGTGGGCGTGCTCATCTTCCTCATCCTCAGTATAAGGTGTGCTCTTACTCGGTTAAAGTCATGTCCAGCTCAGTACCAACTGCTCTGTTTCCTCAGGGTTTAGGGGTGTACAACATGCAGTGCGCCACCAGCAGGAACGCATGGGTAGCATCAAACCTGTCCGTGTCGTTGTGCCGTTGTACCGTTGTACCGTTGTGCCGTTGCCGTTGTGCCGTTGCCGTTGTGCTGTTGTACCGCTGTGCCGTTGTGCCGTTGTACCGTTGTGCCGTTGTGCCATTGTGCCGTTGTGCCGTTGCCGTTGTGCCGTTGTACCGCTGTGCCGTTGTGCCGTTGTGCCGTAGTACCGTTGTGCTGTTGTGCCGTTGTGCCGTTATGCCGTTGTGCCGTTGTGCCGCTGTGCCGTTGTGCCGTTGTACCGTTGTGCCGTTATGCCGTTGTGCCGTTGTGCCGCTGTGCCGTTGTGCCGTTGTGCCGTTGTGCCATTGTGCCGTTGTGCCATTGTGCCGTTGTACCGTTGTGCCGTTGTGCCGTTATGCCGTTGTGCCTCGCACACCCCTCGCCCACCCCTCGCCCACCCCTGCAGGTACCTGGTGGAGAACGCCGACTTCAGCAACTTCAACGGCAACGATGTGAACGTGCTGCTCAGCTACTTCACCATCTCGGTATGCCCACCTCAGACAACGCCTGAAGGAGGGCGCGGTGAAAAGCCTGTAGGGGGACGCGAGGAAAAGCCCATGGGGAGTGGGGGGAAAAGCACGCCGGGGGCGCCGGGAAAAGCCCACAGGGGGCGCGGGGAAAAGCCCGTGGGTTGCACCATCTTGGTATGCTCAGCTGGTGCAGCATCTTGGTGCTCTTGACCGTCCCTCTAGGATGGGTTGCTTCATCTGCAAAGCTGCAGCACATTCCCCTCCCCTTCATCTCCTCTGCTCCGCTCCTCCCCCCTCCCTCATGCATCTCGTCCTCTGTGGCGGATCACAGTGCTTTTGAGTCAACCTGATCACAGTGCCGGTCCTGGCTGTGCTTCAAGGGCCTCGTCTCGTCGTCCCCTCCGCACTCTTCCGTCTGACCCTCTCACCCGTATCCCTTGCTCCCTTCTGCTGTGCCCCGCCCTCAGATCACGGTGCTCGTGATTGCAGTGCCTGAAGGCCTTCCCCTCGCTGTCACGCTCACGTAAGCGTGCATTGTTGGTGATTTTTTAGAATTCTCAAAGGTCGCCATGAGGCAGTATTTCCTTGTTGTTCCCCTCTGCCTTCTCCATCACCAGTTCTTTGTTCGCCTATTTTTTTTCCTCTATCGCTTTTGCATTCATACAAAATTCCCCTTTCCCCTCCTCGTTCGCCTCCCCGTGCCTCCTCCTCGCCTCTCTCATTACTCTCACCTGCCATCCCCCCTCCCCTTCCCGGTGATGCAGTCTGGCGTTCTCTGTGACCAAGATGATGCAGGACAAGTCACTGGTGCGGCACCTGCAGTCGTGTGAGACTATGGGGTGTGCCACCACCATCTGCAGCGACAAGACCGGCACCCTCACTCTCAACGAGGTCAGTCAGACTCTCGCACCCCCTCAGAGCTATTGAGATCGAAATCGTTCTCCCTTGGTTTGGGACATGTGTTCTGAATCTTGTGAGCTAACTGTGTCCTCCCTCACTCCGTATGTGCTGCGTATGCCTGCTCCCTCTTTGCTTCCATCTTGTGCTTGCTCTCCCTTGGCATGTGTGAATCTGATCATCCATATCACCGTGTATCATGTATGTACCACGGCCACGTGCCTGCCAGATGACAGTGGTGCAGGCATGGGTGGCGGGTGACTTCCACAAGCCCCACACCATACGCACTGGCGTCTCCACACCCGTGGCTGAGGTATACTGTACCTGCCTTTCTGTACCCGCCTTGCTGTACCCTTCTTACTGTACCCGCCTTACTGTACCCGCCTTACTGTACCCGCCTTACTGTACCCGCCTTACTGTACCCGCCTTACTGTACCCGTCTTAATGTTCCCCCCTGCCTACCTGCCTGCCCTCTCTGCGCCTGCGTCCACGTATCTGTCAGCCTGTCTCTGTGAGCAGCTGCGGTGCCACTCCCTTCAGCCTGCCTCTTGCCCTGCACTCCCCCACCCCACTCTTGTCCTCCGTGTGCGCTTACCCCTCTTCGCCCCCATTTTCTCCCCTGCCTGACCTTGTGCCGATGTGCCCGCTGCTGCTGCACCAGGTCATCACTGTCAACACCATTAGATCGTGTTTTGACATGTCACAAAGAATCCTCTTCCCCCTTTCCCTCTCCCTCCGCTCCCTCTCCCCTCACCCCCCTCATGCCTGTGTGCTCCCAGCTGCTATACCAGGCCATTGCTGTCAACACCAGTGGATCCGTCGACGAGCCTCCGGTACTCTCCTATTCAGCGCTCTCGCCTCTTCAATGCTCTCCTCTCTTTCCCCCTCTGCATGACATCATGGCTTGCTATGGTGTTCTTGCTGCTATGCTGACATTGTCGTCTCTCGCCGCCTCATTGTTTCCTCAGCTGTGTTCTCCTCATGCTATGCATATCTTTCCTTGCCTCCCTTCTCTCCCACTCTGCTCCTCCTCTCTAAATCTCTCTGCTTGTGCCTCTCTCCCCTCTCCCCACCACCCTGTGCTGCCACGTGGAAGGAGCAGGGCATGCCACCTGTCGTCAGCGGCAGCCCCACAGAGAAAGCGATCCTCACATGGGGCGTCTCGGTATGTCGCCCCTTCCCTTCCACCTCTCTCCTCCCTCTCTTTCCCCCTCACTCACACTCCCAGTCTTGCCTCTCGCTCCAATCCCTCACCACCTCCCTCCGCGCGTACACACAACATCAACGTGTGGAGCTCCCCTATCCCATCCCTGCTGTGTCTCGTTGTTTCACTTCCTCCCCATCTCCCCTGTGCCCTCTCCCCTGTGCCCTGTCCCCTGTGCCCTGTCGCCTGTGCCCTGTCCCCTGTGCCCTGTGCCCTGTGCCCTGTGCCCTGTGCCCTGTGCCCTGTGCCCTGTGCCCTGTGCCCTGTGCCCTGTGCCCTGTGCCCTGTGCCCTGTGCCCTGTGCCCTGTGCCCTGTGCCCTGTGCCCTGTGCCCTGTGCCCTGTGCCCTGTGCCCTGTGCCCTGTGCCCTGTGCCCTGTGCCCTGTGCCCTGGGCCCTGGGCCCTGTGCCCTGTGCCCTGTGCCCTGGGCCCTGGGCCCTGTGCCCTGTGCCCTGTGCCCTGTGCCCTGTGCCCTGTGCCCTGTGCCCTGTGCCCTGTGCCCTGTGCCCTGTGCCCTGTGCCCTGTGCCCTGTGCCCTGTGCCCTGTGCCCTGTGCCCTGTGCCCTGGGCCCTGGGCCCTGTGCCCTGTGCCCTGTGCCCTGGGCCCTGGGCCCTGTGCCCTGTGCCCTGTGCCCTGTGCCCTGTGCCCTGTGCCCTGTCCCCTGCCTCCCCATAAGTCCCCACCTCTCCCCTCTCTTGGCCCGCTTCCCCCAAATGCCCAACCAATCAGTATTTGCATGCAGTGATACAACGGACCAGTGCGAGGTGCGGCCAGTGCAGCCCTTCAGCTCTCCCCTCTCCCTCCCTCCTGTCCCTTCCCCTTTCTGCCGCTTCCCCTTTCCTCCCCTTCGGGGTCGCCCGTGTCCGCCAGTTCGGCATGCGTTTCCACGAGACCAAGGACCAGTGTGAGATCCTTGCAGTGCAGCCCTTCAGCTCCACGCGCAAGCGCATGGGCGTGCTCATCCGCACCCCCTCCTCCCCCTCCTCCTCTGACGCCTCCTCTGCCCTTCCTACTGAAGCCGCTACTGGTGCCGGCAGCAGCAGCAGCGGGGGCAATCTGCGGGTGCACTGGAAGGGCGCAGCAGAGGTGGTGCTGCAGCAGTGTGGGCACTATGTCAACTCCCTCGGCAGCATCGTGCCGCTGACGGAGCCCAAGCGCATGGAGCTCGAGCGCACGCTGCGCGGCATGGGCAAAGAGGCGCTGCGCACGCTGGCATTCGCGTTCCGCGACTTTGACAAGCGCACGGGCGTGGGGGACATGCCCAAGAGGGACGATGGGAGTGTGGGGGTGCCGGAGGACGATCTGGTGTGCGTGGGGTTCGTGGGGATCAAGGACCCGTGCCGGGTTGAAGTACCGGACTCGGTGCAGCAGTGCCAGAAGGCAGGGATCGTGGTGCGCATGGTGACGGGCGACAGCGTGGAGACGGCCACAGCCATCGCCACCGAGTGCGGCATCCTCACGGCGGGCGGCATGGTGATGGACGGCGCGCAGTTCCGAGCCATCCACCCCAACGACCTCCCGGCCACCGTCGACCGCCTGGAGGTGTGCTTTGCTTCCCTCCCTATGGCGCTCTGGCACGTAGAAGCGATGCCTCACACTGGTGGCCTTGCAGTCAACTCACAAGCCACCACAGTTCCAAGCCACCCACCCCAACAACCTCCCTGCCACTGTCGACAGGCTGCAGGTAGGTTTACACCCAACTCACCAATCTCCATAGGTAAAGCACAGATATGGCAGGCAACAACACATACAGGTGAATCCTAACAGCCGGTCCAGAGCACCCTACGGGCCTCCCAGCAGTGATCTTCTCTCCCCTCTGACTTCACCTACCTCCCTCGCTGCTCTGCCCCGCCGTTTCCCCCACCCTCCCGGTGTCCCAGGTGCTGGCCCGCGCATCCCCCACGGACAAGCTGCAGCTGGTTCGAGCACTCAAGGAGATGGGGCACGTGGTGGCCGTCACTGGGGACGGCACCAACGACGCCCCTGCTCTGCATGAGGTATGTGCGATGGGTGCTGCCACTCAAATGGGCGTTTCAGTATCATTTCACCAGGCGAGTATCGCCCCCTTGCCTCAGCGCCTCCATGACCCATGACCCCACCAACGGGCTCGCACAGGCCTACTGACGGACCCCTTGGTCTGAATGCACATGTCGTGTCCCTTACTCTCTCCCTCCCTGTGCAACAACCAGTTTTGAGGCGCCTCAAAACTAACTTTTTTCTGAATGCACATCTCTTGTCCCTTGCTCGCTCCCTCCCTGTGCAACAACCTCATAAATGGACCACTCCAGGCGGACATCGGCCTGGCGATGGGGCAGTGCGGCACGGAGGTGGCGAAGGAGAGCGCGGACATCATCATTCTGGACGACAACTTTGCCTCCATCGTGCGCACCGTGGTGTGGGGGCGCTCCGTCTTCGCCAACATCCAGCGCTTCCTCCAGTTCCAGATCACCGTCAACTGCGTCGCGCTCACACTCAACTTCATTTCTGCTGTCGTCACTGGGGACGCGCCCCTCACCGCCGTCCAGGTGCGTGACTAGCAGGCTGTTGACTGGGGCTTCACTCGCTGCTCCGTGGTGTGGTGTGGGGGCGCTCTGTTGTAGCGCTTCCTGCAGTTCCAGATCACCATCAGTTGTGTCGCGCCCTCGCTCACTTCATCTCCGCTGTCGTCACAGGCGATGCGCCGCTCACTGCTGTCCAGGTGCGTGTCTGGGAGGTTGATGAGTAGGCAGCTCCATGGTCTCCCTCCCATGGAGGCAGACATGGAGGAAGACATGGAGGCAGACATGGAGGCAGATTTGTCTCCCTCCCACTTCACGACTCACACCCCCTGCTCCCTCTTCTCCGCCTCTTCTCCCCTACTTCTCCCCAACACTTTCAACCCAACCCCCCACACCCACTCCCCTCCACCAGATGCTGTGGGTAGACTTGATTCAAGACACCCTAGGCGCCCTGGCCCTGGCAACCGAGCCGCCCTCCGACAAGCTGCTGCAGCAGCCGCCCGTGGGGCGCAGCCAGGATCTGGTGTCGGCCGCCATGTGGCGCAACATCATTGGGCAGTCGGTGTACCAGCTGTCGCTGCTGTGCGCACTATGGTTCAAAGGCATGGAGGTGTTGCAGTTGCCCGGACCCCCGGGCGTGCCCCGAGTGATCGCCAAGGGTGGGGAGGAGATCTCAGTGGGGGAGATGCAGCTCGTCACCATCATCTTCTCGTCGTTCGTCTTCATGCAGGTGGGTGTGTGAGAGAGAGAGGGGGAGAGGGGGAGGGATGGTTAGCTCGGGTATTGGAGAGCTTATGGTTGTTCCAGAGTGATCGCCAAGGGAGCGGAGGTGATCGGGGGTGGGGGGGGGAGGGAGAGACGCAGCTGATTGCCATCATCTTCTCATCGCTGCTCTCGAGGCAGGTGTGTGGAGAGGGGAAAGGGAATGTGCTGGTGATGGGACTACTTACCTCTTGGGTATGGTACACTTGGGGCTGGAATGTGTGTGATCATTTCGATATCCCCCCATGGCCGTACCACGGCAGATCTTCAACCAGCTGAACTCGCGCAAGTTGGAGGAGTGGAACGTGTTTGAGGGGCTGCTCGTCAACCGCCTCTTCGTCCTCATCGTCTCCATCGAGCTCTCCGTGCAGGTCAGCGCTGGTCAATGCAGGCCAGTGCCTCTGGTCAGTGCAGGCCAGAGCTCTCTGTGCAGGTCAGCGTTGGTCGATGCAGGTCAGAGTTGGTCAGTGCAGGTCAGTGCTGTTGGGTGCAGGTCAGAGCTCTCAGTGCAGGTCAGAGCTCTCAGTGCAGGTCAGAGCTCTCAGTGCAGGTCAGAGCTCTCAATGCAGGTCAGAGCCAGTTTTTGCCAGTCATGGTAGGTCAGTGCCGGTCAATACATGTCAAGAAATGGTTTTGTGGTAGGAAGCAGCGCTTGTAGACTTCACCCGCCACTGCCCTCCTCGTGCTCTTCTCCCCCTTCTCCCCCTTCTCCCCGTTCTCCCCGTTCTCCCCGTTCTCCCCCTTCTCCCCTTTCTCCCCCTTCTCCCCCTAGCTCTGCCCCAGGCACTGTTGCTGGAGCTCTTGGTGCAAGTTCGCAGGCTGCATGCAGCTGACCATCACGCAGTCTCCTCCCTCCCCTCACCCATGCTTCTCTCCCCCATTCGCTCTCTCTTTGACTGCCCTCCCCTTCCCTGCCTTCCCCAGGTGCTGCTGGTGGAGCTGCTGGGGCAGTTCGCTGGCTGTGTGCGGCTGACCATCATGCAGAGGGCTCCCTCCATGGCACTCCCCCTCTCCCTCAATCCGCCTGCCCTCACACTATCCTTCCCCCTTCCCTGCCATCCCCATGTGCTGCTGGTGGAGCTGCTGGGGAAGTTTACCGGCTGTGTGCAGCTGTCAGTGGGCCCTCTCCACTGCATCCATTCTTCTCATGCTCTCTTCCCTCAATCTGCCTGCCCTCCCTCTGCGTGCCCCCTCCCTGCCATCCGCAGGTGCTGCTGGTGGAGCTGCTGGGGCAGTTCGCTGGCTGTGTGCGACTGACCATCACGCAGTGGGCGCTGTGCTTCGCTCTGGGGGCTGGCTGCGTGCCCTTCGGCATGATCACCAAGCTCTTCCCCTTGCCAGGTGACGCTCACTCTCACTTTCCACATCATTATTGCCAGGCGACACTCATATCACATGAATGGTCCCACATGATAATGGTTGCACTACACTCATGCCTTCGCACCTTATGACCGTGTAGGTGCTTTATGGGGGCATGCACTTGCTGACTGATCACTCTTTCCTCTGTGTCATTGCATGCTGCAACATTGCAGGTGGGCACCATCCTCGAAGGAAGGTTCTATTTGGGCGCAATGCCAACCAGGGATTTGAGCGCTTGGAATCCAGCTAAGGGCAACTTGCAACTTGCAAGGGCAATTTTCTTGCAAATGGGGCTTGATTGAATCAGACCTTTATGCACATTTTTATCCATGGGGCCATGTGCTGCCCATGAAAGGACGCCATGGGAAATAAAGAAGGAACGGTTTTGCTGTATTTGGAACTTAGGGAAGATCAGGGTGTAATTTGTTGTAAAATATTTATCTTTAGCGGGCTGAGATCGTTCAATGTTTCGCGAGCTGTAGGCGACACTAGTACCAAACGGTTGCGACATTTCGTTTCTTCGCGCAATCCAATTTGTCGCACGAAGATTATCCCAGCCTGCACTCAGCCACGCATTCGCGCCGTCAATCGCGGCGGTCTAATTCTTCCGCTCCCCGCGCGCGCACGCCGCTTTCTCGATGGCGGCAGCAGCGGCGGGGCGGGCGGCGTGGTTCGACGCGCACTGCCATCTGCAGGACCCGCGCATCGCCGCGCGCGCTGGCCGCATCGTGGAAGAGGCGGCAGAGGCGGGCGTTAAGTGGATCGTCTGCAACGGCACGCATGAGGTCAGCAATGGCTGCCGTGACGTCATCGACCCCGCTAGTAACATTGACATGAGCACGCGGTGGTAGCCTAGCAGATGGTCATCCACGGTAAGGAACATCAGATGTTACCATGCATGCCATAATGTACATGCGCCCTTGCATGGCATGCATGCCCAGTGAATAGACGCATGCATGGCACGAATAGATGCGCACATGTGCATGCATCTGCATACTCTCCCCCATGTACCCCCCGCTCTCATGCTCTTATGCGTTCTCCACCAAGCATGTGCCTCCCATGTGCATGCATGTGCCTCCCATGTGCATGCATGGCCCCATCAGGGCGACTGGGATGCAGTTTCTGCCATCGCTGCTGCTCACCCCTGCATCATCCCTTCCTTTGGCTTGCACCCATGGTATGGCATGCACCCATGGTATGGCATGCACCCATGGTATGGCATGCACCCATGGTTTGGCATGCACCCATGGTATGTCGTGCACCCATGGTATGGCATGCACCCATGGTATGTCATGCACCCATGGTATGTCGTGCACCCATGGTATGTCGTGCACCCATGGTATGTCGTGCACCCATGGTATGTCGTGCACCCATGGTATGTCCTGCACCCATGGTATGGCGTGCACCCATGGTATAGCATGCACCCATGGTATGTCACGCACCCAGGGTACGCGGTCGATGCATGGCACATAACGCATGGCTTGTGGCACATGGCTCATAACCCCAAATGCATGACACGCAATGATGCACATGCCACACACCATGCCATAGCATCAGATACATCCCTTCGCGGTCGCCACACTGGCTGCAGCACTTTGGATGATGTGTATGGCAGTGACATGGTCGATTGTTTAGGCGCCTGAAAGATTGATGTGTATGGCGGTGACATGGCACATGCCTCATACCGCACTGCCACCATCGCATGCCATCTCTGCAGGTACATCCAGTCTCGCTCGCCCCACTGGCTGCAGCACCTGGAGCGGCGACTCATGGACCATCCCCACGCTGCCATGGGCGAGGTGAGCCTTCACTTCTGATCCAAGCTACTCCTGTTCTATTCCCCAGGCTCCATGGAATGACGCGCTGCTTCCGACCAATCAGCACCAATCGAACCAATTTGATTGGGCTCGAACCGATCAGCTCATCGTTTGCCCTTTAGGCAGGTCTGCACCGCTGCAAGAAAGGAGGCAGCAGCAGCAGCAACAGGGAGGGCGCACCGCTGGAGGAGCAGGTGTGGGTGATGTGCGAGCAGCTGCAGCTGGCGCGCCGCCTGCGCCGCCCCATCGCCCTGCACTGCGTTCAAGCGCACGGCCACATGCTCAAGGCGCTGCAGCAGGTGGGTTACTAGACGCGTGGCCACGTCCTTCTATTGTCCCCTGCACCGCCCCATCGCACTAGACTGTGTTCAGGCTTACGGCCACATGCTCACCGCGCTGCAGCAGGTATGGCATCCGCTGCCACATTGCTCGGACTGCTGCCGCCAATCCACCTCCCTCTTTTCAGCATGGCAGATACCTTCTCCACTCCCTCTCACTCTATCTCTCTCGCTCCTCCATCCCTCCCTCGCCCTGTTTCTATGCCCTCCCGCTCTCTTACACGTCATCCACCCCATCAGCACGGCCCGTTCCCAGCGGGCGTCATTCTGCACTCCTTCAGCGGCCCGCCTGACGTGGTCTCCGCGCTTGTGGCTCTCAACGCCTTCTTCTCCTTCTCCCTCCTCTCCACCTCCTCCCCGCCTCACAAGCTCGCTCAGCTGCTCAAGCAGGTATGCCTTCGCACAAATCCACCCCACACCAGCTCTTGCTAGCTCTTGCTAGCTCTTGCTAGCTCTTGCTAGCTCTTGCTAGCTCTTGCTAGCTCTTGCTAGCTCGCGCACAGCTGCTGAAAGTGGCTTGGCTTTCTACGCAATCCGATGCATGTCCCGCTTCTCTGGCGTGACTGCGTGTGCCCTCCCCCACAACAACCTGGAGACTTATCTCCCGCCCAGGAGACTTCTCTCCCGACTTCCTTCCCCCCCATATCTCCTCTCCCCATCTCTCCTCTCCCCAATTCCTGCTCTCTCTCTCCCGCCCCACCATCCCCTCTCCTCCGTCCCTCAGGTGCCTCCAGACCGCCTGCTGCTAGAAACAGACGCACCAGACGGCCTCCCAGCCGCGAGACGCAGGAGAACGGAGGGCAGGAGGAGGGAGGCACACTCTGAGGTGCCTCAACGCGAGGACGGGGGGAAAGGCGAGAGGGGCCGAGTGGAGGGGGGAGGGAGGCGAGAGGAGAGGGGGAGAGGCGAAAGGGAAGGTGGAGGAGAAGGGGCGGAGAAGGGAAGGGAAGAAGGGGGTGATGCAGAAAGAGGCTGTTGTGTCAGGGAGGAAAGGGATTCACATGGACTGAGGGAGGGGGGGGATCGGACTAGAGGCAGGCAGGAGGGTGGGGAGGAGAGAGCGGAGGAGAGAGGGGAGGAGAGAGGGGAGGAGAGATGGGAGAGGGGGGGAGCAGAGGGAGAGATAGAGGGCAGTGACGATGGCAGATCCCTCAACACACCGGCAAACATCCGACTGGTACAATTCTGTTGCCTCAAATGCTCGCGCATGAGACACATGCCAGCACAGTCAGTTGAGCAAAGCGGCACCACCCCTTTGGTTCTCCCTTGTTGCAGGTGTGTGAAACGATCGCTGGCAGCATGGGCAGGTCGGATGAAGCTGTGGCGGAAGCAGCATTTGCCAATGCTGTTCGGCTCTTCTCCTTCCCGGGGTCATGTGTCCGTGCGCACAAGGACCAAGACACGTGATGCACTCGGAAGAATTCTGAAAGCTTTCTGTAGTCTGCACCCTGCATGTGCTTGTGTCATGCTTGTACATGCGTAGTTGTGTAAATTTTGGGATCACATGCTATGACGAGTCACTGATTGCTCAACTTCAACTGAATAGTGCATGCCGTTTTCCCTCATAAATACAGAGATGCTACCCAGAATCCTTCCTACTTTCACCGCACTGTCGCTAATCGGGGTCACCCCGGCCTTATTTCTTCGAGTCTGGCAAGCCAGCATGTGAGACTTCACTCAAGCCTTCAGGTGATTCTCCAGGTGTGTTTCTAGGCGAGTCTCTGGGGGAGCCATCTGGGGAGTCAGCAGCGCAGGACTCAGCCAGTGAGCCAGCGCGGGACACGAACGAGCTGTGGGCCGTGGTGCGCGCCATGCTGAGTCGGATCATTGCTCGGCTGATGCCCTGCAGCTCCGACACCACCGACGCGATGTCAGGGCGGCAGCGGGTGGCGGGGGACGCACAGCGGGCGGCGAGGCGGGCGAAGGAGCGGACGGGACGGAGCGGCATGGAGTGGGCGGTGATGGAGGGGTCTAGGATAGGAGCGAGATCGTCTGCTGCTATGCTGTCAAGGATCTGGGAGTGAGGGGGGAAGAAAGGGGGGGGCGGGGGCAGGAGGGGTTACCGGGATGTGAGTGTTTTAGGCGCTTTGAAGCTCATGGGGGGGTCTAGTGCTGGAGCGAGATCGTCCGCTGCTATGCTGCGAAGAATCTGGAGCGAGGGGGGAAGAAAGGGGGGCATGGGGCCCGGGGAGGGGGAGGGGAGGATGTGTTTTAGGGTTCTTGAAGCTAATGTGGGGTCTAGCATTGGAGCAAATCTGTCTGTTGCGCTGAGAAGGATGTGGGAGTGAGAGGGGAAGGGGGGGAGGAGGTGGGAGGAGGTGAGGAGAAGGAAAGGGGAGAGAAAGGTGGAAGAGAGTGAGTGCTCGGCATAATTATGACTTCAGTGTAATTATGAGTGGTGCTGGCAGTGGCATGGTCACTGAATGTGGGGCTGTGTGTGCCACGGGCACCAATGGCTGTGTGTGCCACGGGCACCAATGGCTGTGTGTACCAGGGGCAACACTCACCGATTTCGTATCCATGTAGACCGTGCTGCCTGTGCCATGGTGTGTGGCCATGGCTGGATGGCCTGATAGCAGCTCCAGCATTATGACGCCCAGACTGGCGGGATGGGGGGAGCGAAGGGGATGGGAGAAGGGGATGGGAGGTGGGGAGGCGAGATGACACGCTGTGAGAGAACCCATGGACTCCCGGCACAACCATAGCACCATACCGGTCCAACTGGACTCCCCAACACCACGACGGCCAGACTGGCGGGACGGGGGGAGAGGGGGAGAGGGAAGGAGGTGGTCGGTGAGGGCAGACATGCTCCTTCAGTGCTAGTAGAGCGGGGCAGGATGAGAGTGTAGGGACTGCATGAGGCTTCTGGGAAGGAAAGAAATTAACTCCCCGCTCTATTCTCTTGCCGAATCCATGCTGTGCTCCATGCTGTGCTCCATGCTGTGCTCCATGCTGTGCTCCATGCTGTGCTCCATGCTGTGCTCCATGCTGTGCTCCATGCTGTGCTCCATGCTGTGCTCCATGCTGTGCTCCATGCTGTGCTCCATGCTGTGCTTCATGCTGTGCTCCATGCTATGCTCCATGCTGTGCTCCATGCTGTGCTCCATGCTGTGCTCCATGCTGTGCTCCATGCTGTGTTCCATGCTGGGGGACACTCTTGCAGCCGAGTGTTCCATCGGCGACCCATACCTTTGTACTGGGACCTGCACAGAGGAACCCACCCGTATATGTCAGTGCGTGTGGTTGGCCACATATGCTCCCACCAATCTGGGTCCCTGTGAGGAGCTGCCACGTGGCACTGCTGACCCACACAGGGAGCGCCGGGAAGCCCCTTGACAATGCCGAGATTCGCCAGCCGGGCCTGGCATCAGCGGCAAGAAGAGTACACAAGTGAACGATGTTAGAGCGCCAAACTCCAAGGCATGCAACCGTTATGCTAAATAATACGGGAAGTCTTCTGAATATATACTAAACCAGAACCCAGCGCAGGCAGTATGGACAAAGCGTGAAGAGGGATCACGAAGCCAAGATAGTGAGCGCACCACTGGCAGCACTTCGAGGAAGACGGAGGAGGAGCAGAGGCGGCCATGCACCAAGGGGGGGTGCGCGGCCGTGTGCAGGTGGCACAGCGCCTCTGCGATGGCCGTCGCGATATCCAAGCGCTGGGAGAAGGCGAGCGGTTGGGGACTGGAGGCTGCATCTGGTGGAGGGGCGGTAAGGGTGGTAAGGGCGGAGAGGGTGGAGAGAGGTGGAGAGAGGTGGAGAGAGGTGGAGAGGGGACGGAGTGTGCGCCTGGTGCAGGGGAGGGAGAGGGGGCACGGTGGAAGGCGGAAAGCAGCACGTGCGTGCACATGCGAAAAAAGGCCTCTTCTATTGCCAAAGGGAGGGGCGCATAGCATATGCTCTGATTTCACTCAATGCCAGCGCCATTCTCCTGGTTACCCCATGGCGCTGCTCCTTCCTGCTCACCCGTACTAACCCCCTCCGAAGGGTCTGCTTTGCCAGCATAATCACCCCAAGGGACGAACTGCTTACCGCTGTCGTTGCCATGTTTCCGCAACTCCCTCTGCGCCTGCAGGCGACTCAGAAGCGTCTTCTCGTTCGACCATTCATACAGCAGCACCAGCTCCCTCCCTCCCCCTCCTCTCCGCGCCCCCTCCAACCCCCCTCCCCGCACCCCCTGCTCTCCCCCTCCCCCTACACCCCCCCCAGCAGCACCTGTATCAGCACCCTTAGTTTCACCCCCCGCTACATTCTCCCGTTGCCCCTCCTGCCTCCCGCCCGCCACACCAGCTCCTACTGATGCCGATGTCGATGCTGCCTCTCTCCCTCCCCTACACTCTGCCCCCAACTCCCTGCCGAGGCCTGCTGACCTCTCTGCATCCGGCTCTGGGGCGCACTGGGTTCTCCTCACTCTCCCCTTTCTCCCCTCCCCTCCCCTCTCCCCGCCCTTCCCCGCCTTCCCCAATTCCCCCCCACCATCCGCCACCTCCTTTTCGCCATTCCCCTCCCCTTGCGTATCCTGCCCGGTCGATTTCCGCCACAGTATCTGCGCCCACTGCCGCATGCTCTCCCCCGGCTGCCTCCGCCGCCCGCTGCCGTCCGCCCGCCGCAGCGGCTGCTCGCTCCAGCCAATCAGGTGCAGCAGATGGGGATGCGACAGGCGGGACACACGGACGATCTGCACGCACGGGTTGAGATGCGCACGGGTTGATGATATGAGTGGGTCAGCTGTCCTTCCTATCACTCACTCCCTCTCACCGCTCCCTATCACTCACTCCCTATCACTCACTCCCTCTCACCACTCCCAATCACTCACTTCCTCGTTAAACGCCCTTGTCTTGGCAGCTGCGCCAGTCCAAGGCAGCCACGTGGCACCTGCAACCCCCCCAGGTAGGGTGGCCCGAACCACGAGCCAAGGCTCGCCGTCCGGTCCGGAGCACGGGAACGAGTCCCCGAAGGGCCCCGAGCCAAGCTGGAATGAAGAGGGATGGGGAGGAGGGGGAGGGGGCGGGTGGGGGGGGAGAGATTGGGGCAAGAGGGCAGTACGCAATATCGGTATGCTGTGTTGGAGAGCAAAGAGTGGTGAACGAGGGAAGTGGGGAGAGGAGGGCGGGAGGGATGGGTTTGGGAGCCCATGGTGGCTGCAAAAAGGGAGCGAGTGAGAGAGAGAGTGAGGAATCAAGGTAAGTAGGTGGGCAGAGATGACGAACGGCATGAGCACTTGGGAGCAGGAGAGAGTGAGTGCAGGGGTGTGAGGGGGAGATGTGGCACCTTGAGCAGGGGGTCATAGTGGCGCGTGCACTTGGCGAGGTAATCAGCCAGAAACGCCTCGTCGAAGTTGCTCTCCGCTCTCCTTGCTGCTCAAGCAGTGCAAGGAGTGCCGCCACGTCATGCCATGCCATGCCACGTGGCATCATGCAACACCACGCCCATAGGGAGGGCCATTCCACGTGGCACGTAGTAGTACATGCCAACATAGGAGCCATGCCACATGAGTGGAAAAGTGAGGAGCCACTGCAGACGCAAAGGCTGTAATTTCAGAACAGAAACAAAGGCAAAACATCAGCTAACGTTGTACTGTACTGTACCTTGTCTGCAAAACATGCAGAAGCAGAGAGTGGCTATAACGAGGATAACTGCCGCACACGCGGCAATGAGGGATATGAGAAGAGGGCGGGACAGCAGACCACTGCCTGGAGGATCTGAAAGGTGAGCGGCATGGAGACCGGTCCACCCCGGAGTTATGGGGACCGGGGTGTTGGAGGGGAGGGGGGGAGGGTGGGGGAGGTGCGCGGTTCAGGGCTTAGAGGGAGCGAGGGTATAAGGGGGAGGCGCAGCATGGGTAGGTATTTTTTAGGCGCCTCAAAAATGGTATAAGGGGGGGGCGGAGCATGGGAAGGTATAGAAACGGGGGGATGGCCATGGGGGCACTCGGGGCATGGAAGGTGCCTTTGGAGCCTCAAACACGGGTGCAGGAGAGAACGGGAGGGAGCGAGGGGAGTGCACGAGGGGTGTGCGAGTTTTTTTGGGGGGGGGTGTTGTGCAAGAAAACGGAGGGGTGGGGGGGGTGCAACGTTGGGGTGAATGCGCGGTTGCAAGGTAAAAGGGGGGGGGGAGGGGGGGGGGGTTGGGGGATTAGGGGGGCGGGAGGAGAGAGCTTGAGGCACCAAAGGGGGAGGGGATGCCCCTGCTTGCCGGGGGGCGGAACGGACTTGCCGGGGGGCGGAAGGGACTTGCCGGGTGGCGAGGCGGCCGTGACTTGCAAGAGACGGCGCGCGGAGGGGAGCGACGTATGAGGGGCGGCAGACGCGAGAGGGGACCATGCGGCAACATTATATCTCGCACATCCGCCCTCCAGAACCAGGCGCGGCGCAACAGCTGCTCACAACGCACGCGGGCGGTTGGGCGGGGGGGGAGGGGGGGAGAAGTTGGGCGCAGTGGAGGGGGGGGGGGGGACGGAGGGCAATGTGAAGACCATCATCCCATGCGGTGAGGACAAGGGAAGACCATGGTGGCATCTGGCACATGTGGTTGGGGTGGGGGCGGATAGGAGGTGGCGACGTGTACGACGTCCTTTGGAAGTAGTGCCTTTTTCCGAAGAGTATGTCCGAATAGTGTTCTAAAGTTCGCTGAGCTATTCGAAATGGCGTGCGGCAGGACTGACCACGACTGGCGTCGCACGGCAGGCCGGCGGTGGCGGCGACAGCGGTGACAGCGGCAACGAGCAGGAGCAGCGGCGTTTGGGCGCGCTGCCTGGGGAGAACCGACCATCTACTACAGCTTCGAACGTCACGGCGCCGTGAGCCCATCACGGCATGCGGAACGCTGAGACTCCGCGAATGCCGCCGAAAGTGATACCGGTTTTTTTCTCAAACCTTGCGGAAATCATTAGTAGCACGAATCCGCAGCGTGGACGGGCATCAGGCACGCCGCTGCTCTGCGGTTCAGCATAATTAATCTTGATAATCTTTGGACTGGTTCGCGAGAGTTACGACCTCCTGAGCAACTACCAAGGGTCCCTGAGAAACGCCGGAGTGTCACAAGCCTATCCTAACAGAATACGGTAGCGATGGTCCAACTTGGAGCAGCAAGGATGGGGTGGGCAACAAGCGACGGCCAAGGGCGCCAGGGGATGTGCTCGCGATGACTTTGGCCCGACTCAAACACCAAGGGCCCCAGGCAGGTGCTCATGGACGGTGCAGCGCGCGCGGCGGTCCAAGTTCCAACGGAGAAGAGGCCGTGTTGAAGACGCCTACTAGCGCAGACGATGGTGAGGAATTCCCACCCTCCTGGTTTCATGTAGAGCACGCATTGCATGCTTCCATACCACCCCATCCTCTCCCATCCCATCCCATCCCATCCCATCCATCCCATCCATCCCATCCAAACCCGGTGCGAAAGGGAGCGCTGCACTTGGGCACCAATAATTGCACATCCAACGCGCGGCCTGGCCACGCCACAATGGTTCATCGCGTGCGCTGAATTGAAGGTACAGTTTCTACAATGTTGCACACCAGTATTACTATCTCCACCAGGCCAACTCGATGTGAATTTTCATACCCTAAACAACCAATGTAAGAGCATGCTACCACTACATATGACGTAACAAATATACAATAATTCTGAATCTCACACCATCCAAACACAACAGTGTTGTACAAGTTTAAAGGACCGACCTGGCCCTCAAGCTTGTCAATTGTTGCCTGCAATACGAGAGAGGAGCCAGGTCAGCTGTTGAGCAGAATGACCAACTACCACGGAAAAGCATGCATGCGTATCAAGAGCAGCAGCGCGGGAATTCTAGCACTACACTGAAGGCGCAAACGACAAGCAACAAGGCGCACCCTTACCTTGCAGGTACTGCAGGATCTCGAGCATGCGAATGAAGAGATTGATGATGTCAAGATAGATGTTGAGGCTCGCCATCACATACTCATCGTATGAGTACCCTGCACATACATGGACGGGCAAGAGCAGTGAGTTAACGGATTTGAGCAAGCAGGGAAGAGAAAACAATGGAGCCACATGCATGAGAGCACATGGCAGAAACAACTTGCTTTAGGCAGCTGTAAACTCTGCCGATGTGTGAGAGTAACGAGGGTACTTACGCCTGATGATGAGGTCAGTGTCATAGACAATGAAGAGGGCGAAGATGAGAGCGCCCACCAGAGCCAGCGCGAACCTGCACCACAAAAACACAGACAGGCGGACAAACAGATGGCAGAAAAGGGTCAGTTGCTTGCATCGCACAAGCTACGGGCACTGCACAGAGCACACGTAGCACAATAGAAGATTACCGAGCTCCCAAATGTTTTACATAAAAAAACTGTGAATTGAACGGATTCACAAACCACAAACAGCACACATGCAACCATAAACACGAGATTCAGATCTGGCATGTATGGGACATCACGAGCAAGGGGGAGTTATAAGCCGACACTCACTCGCTGCCAAGGCCCCAGAAGATTTGGATGAAAGACCAGCCGAGCAGCAGCCAGAGGCTGACGTACAGCATGGGACCCAAGTAGCTGGAGGAGGGGAGGGAGCGAGGGAAGGACGGTAGCGGCGGATGCAAAGGTGGGAAACTGGGAGAAGCACTGACGGTGAAGCAGCTTTTGAGGCGCCTCAAAAATTGGGAGAAGCAGTGAGGGTGACGCAGTCAGGGGGACTGAACGAATGGGACCCAGGTATCAGAAACCGGGAGAGAAGAGGGTGTACAATGGAAGGGAGGGATGCAGAGAAGCCGTGGGTTAAACGGTGCAATACAGCCCAGAAGGGGTACGGGGAAAGTCTAGAGAGGGTGCGAGTGAGTGAGTGAGAGAGCGGGTATGAGAGAGCACCTGAACGCCTGTCCCTTTTTGACGGCATAGTAGGTGTACGCGGTGAGCCCCAGCACCACGGACGCCGTCAGGCCTAGGGCCTCCGCTACTATGGGCCCTGGCACAAATACAGCGCGGACAGGTGGGGAGGGGGGAAGGTGGTAGAGAAACAAGGATACGGCTCTTTGGTACAGAAATGCAAAAGGATAAAGCCACTGCGGAGCTTCAATGAGGGAAGAGGGCGGTGGAAAAAACGGCAAGGAGCTGAATCTTCAACAGCCATCGAATGACCCCGCCTCATACCATCCGAAACTGCCCCCCAGTCTTGCACACCCACATTCCCCGCCTCTCACCCCACCCCACCCCACCCCTCCCTTTTCCCCCCGTTCCCATTAGTCTGGCGCGTACCGCTGTACATGCTGCAGATGAGGCCGACCGTCATGCTCATCGACGCCGTCTGCACGCCCGCACAGACGGCGGGGAAGGGGGCGGGAGGCGGAGACGATTGAGCGGGGGTGGGGGGGAGGGGAGAGGAAACGCCGAGAAGGTGAGAGATTTGGAAATACATAACGCGGGGGAAGGGACGGGAAGAGAGGAAAGAGAAAACTGAGAAAAAGAGGAGAGTGAAGTGACGTCATCCTACACAGCTATAAGAAAACCAGGGGAGCGAGCGAAGAACGACCTGATCCAGCCAGCAAAAGCATACACACAGTAAGAGGGAGCAGGCTCACACAGACAGGGAGGGAAAGACGCAAGCGAAAGGAGAGGATGCGACGGAAAGCTTAGAGACGACTTACCCAAATTGCGAGCAGGGCAAGGTTGAGAGGGTGACGAGAGCGATAGATGAAGAGAGGAATGAGAGCTGCGCGCACATGCAAGCAAGGGCGGGGTGGGGGAAGGGGGAAGATAGCGTCAAAAAGAGGAAAGTCGAACTACCTAGTTGAGAAAGACGACCGTCAAATCTAGTCGAAAGGAAAAAACGAGACGGCGCGAATGGAACAGGGGCTGGAATAGAGGCAAAGAGATGGGGAGAAGCAGAAGAGAAGAGAGAAAATGAACGGCGAGCGAGAGCAGAGGCGTAGGACCCCCTGACTGAGAGGGACGGAGGGTAGGAGGACGGGACGTACTGACGAAGGGCAGAATGGTCGCGGAGAACATGAAGTAGCCATTGGTCAGACCGAACTCGCGGACAGACGGGATGAGAGCGAAGCACGATCCGACGGCTGCGGTGAGGAGGAGTTGTGCACCGATGATGCCGTACACCTGCGGAAGTAGGAATCAGAATAAATGGTTTTCACTGAATGACATGCTTGAAGCACAGCAGTGCCACCGCTACGACTCACGAACTTGTTTCGGCGCTTCTGTTCCTTCACTAACACACACTGAAAGCCGGTCGTACTCCCCTCCTTTAGTCACACTTATTACTACACGGCGCTACTGTTCATACAGGGTGCTACGTATCTGTAAGATACGCAATAAGTCAAGTCGAAGTGCACTAGAACGGCGTGCAGCCGGCGTCTAAAAGAAGCATCACTGCGCATCAAGCGGAGAACCTGAGCCTGCCATGAAAAAAGTCACGGCATGCGAGATACCTTTCGGATGAATCCCCATCGCATCTCATTCTCGGACAACGTGATTCCTGGATACAGCAGATCGGACGACGGGCCCGCCTCCACGTCATGGCCTTGATTCTTCATAAGCTGCGCGTCGACGGCATGAGCAGCCTCCATGGCGGTAAAAGGACTAGAGCGGCGTGAGAAACTAAAAGGGAGAAGAAACTGCTAGTAGGACTGACTGGTATGAGCTAGAGAAACTAGAATGTCACTCCTCCGCTTTGGTTGGCATTAGGGTTTGAATGCAAGCCAAGCCGAATCAGGCGGGAAGCCAGTGATTCTGGAAGGTCGGTTGGGGTGAGGGAGATGGCGGACGGCGAGGCAATATCGGATGGGTACATACAAACGATGGTGCACATCACTGACTGCTTCCGTTTCCCCAGGGATTGGTGTTTGCTTGGACAGCAAGGCAACGGAGTTCGTCAGATTCGCATCAGGTCAAGTTGAGTTCTGCATATCGAAGCAACTCGTTATGATGCTAGACGTGCAAAATTGTCCTGTCAAAACACCTCACGGTGAAACAATGTTACGCCATATTTGTAAGGAGACTTCCGTATTTGGAGCAATGCCATTAAGAAGTATGTTTTGTTGTGTGAACCCCCAATTCTTAGGTGGCGGGTGGGGAAGAGGGGGCAGAGTGGGAGGGATGAGGGATGGTCGACGTGAGTAGGCGACATTGGGCCAAGCACAGTTCTGTATGTGTTGTAAACAAATGGATTGCGCAAATAAACATGACAAAGCATCAGATTACAGGACGCGACCATCCATTCCATCAAGTGGGCCGGCCCACATTCCCTTCATGGGAGGCAATTGAGCAGCAATCACACTCCAAGGAGGGTACCCCACTCCACTAGCTCGCACTCGCCCGTCTAATCGAAGAGAAAGGTACCTGCCACATCACAATCACTTGATGTGAGCGCGTGCAACATGCAGGAGAAGACAAGGCGTAGCGAAGCGAGCATCTTGTATGGAAAAAACGGCACAGGCAAGTTGGGTAGGAAAGACTTACACAGGAGAACCCGGGGCAACATTGGCAAACTTCATTTGTTCCTTCAGCCATCTACACACGACACAAAAATCACGGTGCAGTTAGACACAACTGCAGCACAACTATCCGACCCCTGCCAATCCAGCTTAAAACATCAAACCAAACAACTCAATATTCGCCCTCAATGACTCGGCGTTTCTCACCTGTTCCACTCATCAGTGTAAGTGGGCCGGCCCATCCACCTCTGCAGCAGCCCATCTGCGGCAGCAGTAGCCACTTCACCCCCCCAGGACGGATCCACCACCTCAGCAAACCCCTTAAAATCACCCGGCAGCGGCACATTCCCTGCGGCTGCAGCCCCGGCCTCAGCACCGACAGTGACAAACGGGGCCACCACGACTGCTCGCTCCAGCAGCGCAGCGCGGTATGGCTCTGCAGCAGCGAGGGCGGCCTGCACGTGGGATAGAGGGCCGGCGACGATGATGAGGCGGCAGGAGCCCTGCAGCTGTGAGAGGGGGACAATACGCCCCGTGGGGAGCTCCAGTCGCAGCTTGGCCAGGGACTCCTCACGGGTGATGCGGTTCAGCGAGGCGTCCTTGCCACGCGCATCAGACCTGGGGTGGTGGGTGGCAAATGATGGGGATGGGCATGGGGGTGGTTTGGGCGTAAGGATTGTGGGGAAGATTGAGGGTGATGGCAGCTCAAGATGCAGCCTGGCCAGGGAGCCCTCGCGGGTGAGGTGGTTCAGCAGAGAGGCGTCCTTGCCACGTGCGTCAGACCTGGGAGGGGTGGGGATGGTTGGCGTGTGAACGATATGGTTGCCTTGCTTTTAGGGCACTTCGACTGGGCCGTGTTCAGTCCCCAGCTACCATTGCTGCCCCTGCCCCCGAGTGTTCCTTCTTCAGTGTGTCACAGGCTGCGCCTGCTGCTATTGCCCTGTGCTCTTCCTCATATATTCCGCCTCGTTCCCTCCTTCTCATACCCTAGCCCTTCTTCCGAATCCCCAACCCCACCCCATCCCCACCCCCACCCCCATTCCCAAACCCCGATCCGCACTGCCCCTTCCCGACCGCTCACCGATAAAGCAGGGCGAATATCCCCGCGGCCGCCACGTCAATCCCGAGGTCCTTGAGCGAGTCCTGGATCTGCGCGGGGTCCGCGTCTCTTGCGCCCGCCGCGACGGCGAGCAGCGCCGTGGCGGTGATAAGCGCGCCGATGGACGCGGACGCGATGAACGCGCCGTACAGGAACATGCGCACCGTGCGGAACGGGTTCAGCACCTCCTGCCGCAGGCGCGCCTCCTGGCTGCGCGGAACGGGGGGCAGCGCCGCAAGCGGGCAACGGTCGCGCGGGAAGGGTGCAGTGCGGGGGAATGGAGCGCAGGTGGGTGGTGTAAAGGGAGGGAAGAAGAGGGGCAGTGATGGGGGATGGTGAACGCGGCACGAAACAAAGAATGCTCACGCTTGCATACTCTCACACCCATGCGCTCAGAGCGTGCGTGCGTGTACTCTCACCGCTATACACGGTAACTGAGAGCGACTCGTACCTGTACTCCGTGGGTCCCTCTTTGCCCTCGCCGTTCGACCCGCTGGCTCGGCAGGGCGAGGCTCGGTGCCGATCGGTGCCACGGGAGTTCGGCGTGGCGATTGAACGGGGCCGAGCGCGGAGCGGCAAGAGCAACGAGCGGTCGACAAAATGCACGGTTAGTGGACTCTGTCGCCTTTGTTGTTGCTGCTGCTGCTGCTCTTGATGGAACGGAATGCATGTGGTCCCGACATTGCGAGGTTCAGAACGGTTCGCGACGAGGAAGTGACGGGAGGCTGTGGGCGAAGGTCGGTGTGTGGCAAGGCGACGGGAGGGTGATGAGCGGGAGGAGGAAGAGGAGGGTGAGACAGCGCCGGCTGTGCTGGCTGTTGGGACACGGCTGATAGACAACATTGTGCGAACCGCAGTTCACTTCGAGTGGAAGAAAATGCCGTGAGATGATGATCAATGCTTTGGCAAAGAAGGCAGCCAGAGAACTGAGAAGTGACTGCACAGCTTGAATTCGACTAGGCGCGCACGAATCGGTAAGCTCGAGCAAGTCCGCCCAGTCTAGGCGAAAGCCGAGCTGTGCGAGATGCGAGAACTCGCAACGTGATGCTGGAGTGCTCACTGACAGGAATTTGAGGAGACGGGGCTGTTCTTTGCTGCGGCTGTGACTGTGGCGTGGTGATTGTGACGAAATTGCCACGTTGGTGTTCTGCAAGTGAGAGTTGGTGTCGTGGCGAGCTGTGAGTGCAGCGTATCCATCACTGCAAATCGAGGCAAGATTCAGATCACCGACATCCTTATAACGCGTACAAGTCTTCCATGTCAGCGGAACCAGAGGCGACGTGGAGCTTGCAAAGGGGTTCGAAGTTTCGATTGTTGGGGGAAGCGACGTAGTACACTAAAATGTAGCGATACCTTAGAGATGGGAAATAATTCCTGGATGCTCTCGAGTTTGCCTGCCATGAATCCCTCTGCACCAAGCCAAATATTTTCAAAACGTTATGAACCGTATGAAATCAAAAACATTCATTCCCAGGGTTCCTTCGCCAGCATCAGTTTCCCCAAGCCCTTCCTCCTCCAGGCCAGCACAGCAGCATTTCGCTCCCCCGAGGGCGAATCATCACTGTTCAGCAGACTGGCCGATTTCCAGCGTTTCCACCATTGCTGTGCTGTGGGATGCCACTGTGCCGTCCAGAGTGTGCGTGCGTGGTCGAATCCGCCATCGTTCGTCGAACATTGCAAGACTGCGCTGCAGAAGCTTCCTTGGCTGGAGCTGCTGCTGTGATATCACATTCGTTCCTCCCTGGCTGCCATTCTTGCATTTCTAGGCTTCGTATTTCGGCTATCCTTTACTACGTCGAGTAATCTGCCTAGCGCGTGTATGTTGCTGTTACCGAGAGACTTCAGAACATCAGTTTGAAAATACTGAGAGAACACATTAGCCATGGCGAGTTCCGTCGTTGTGCCGTCAGCAACGTCTGGAATCCAGCATGTTTCTAGCATTCTCCTCGCTTCTCGTGACGGCTCGACTAATCGTCCGGCTCGCATTGCACACGTGTCAGCGCGTCACCGCACCCACCTCCGCTCAGACCTCCTTCCTGGAAGCGTCTCCACCCTTCGCTTCTCCCCGTCAGCTTTCCCCGTCCATCGCTCCACGTCGTCTCGCTTCGTTAAAGTCACATCGGTTTTAGCGAAGGACGACGTGGTTGTGACGGGCGACGAGGGGTCGCAGGGCCAGCAGAGTCGCACGGAGTCGTTCCTGCTGGCGGTGGAAGAGGGAGAGAAGCGCGTTAAGGAGCTGGAGGGCAAAGTGGACGTCAAGCGACGCGCGCTGGAGCAACTACAGGTATGTATCCGATATAGTCATCGACGGGACCTTATGCTTCTATCTGTTTCGAGATTCTCGCGTCTTCATTTACTTTCAAGGCCGGGAGAGGCGCGAGCTTCCAGAGCAGGGGAAGGGATATTCGAGCTTGAGTGGATACTTTCGTCTTTCTAAATGTCTCCCATCCCATGGCTGCAGGCTGACATCAACAAGCTCTACTCTGAGACATTCGCTGGCGTGGAGATTGCACCTGAAGCACCGGCAGCAGGCGAAGAGGAAGGAAAGGAAGCGGAGAAGGTCCAACAGCCTGCTGCTGCTGGTGCTGATGTTCCCCCGCGGGTGTTCGAGAGCATGGATGAGGAGGCATGGGGCAATCTGGGCCGTTCAGAGCCATCCGTGTTGAAGGCGCTGATTGGTGAGGGGGAGGGGGGGCACTGCTGCTGATGCATCCTGAAGTCGCACTCATGCCATCCACATCATAATCTGCGCATGCCTGTGGCTTTACTCACTAGACATTATTTCCACTTCCAGTGATGGCTAACCGACTGATAAATCGTCACCTTCCGCTTCACCCCCATCAGAGTCGGTGGACCGGCGAGCATGGACGGCGTTCCAGCGGGACGTGCACAGCTTGGCGCTGACGCGAGACCGCACCAGGCAGGAGCTCCGACAGCTGCAGGACCAGCTGGACGAGGCCCGCGCTGTTGCTGCTGCTGTACGGTTACTCACTCACCTTCCCTCCCTCCATCCCCCAACATTGCCCTGAACCTGAACTGCCCTGTCTACCCGTGCCTTGTAATTCTTCTCCTTCCGTCTGGTAGCTCCATGTGATGCTCCTACTTCTTGTCCTCTCGCATCAAGAGACAACTGCTGCCATACCCACATGTCTCCCCCCACCCCCTTTCCATTCCCGCCTCTCCCCTCGCCCTCCTCGTCTCCACCCTTCCCCAGCCTATGGAGGAGTCATCAGCAGAGTCGGACTCGGAGGCAGAGGGGCCGGAAGTAGTGATCCCTGGGCTGGGCCCCAGGGCGGAGCGCAGGACAGCCAACATAGTGCTGGTGGCGGGGTTTGAGTCGTTCAACGTGGCGCTCTACAAGGAGGCAGCGGCGCAGCTGCGAGCCAAGTGCCCCGGTGGGTCGGCACAGGAGGGAGGTATTAGGGCGAGTGTGGGGATGGGGACAGGGGGGTGGGTGTGGGATAGGAAGGTGGATTTGTTTGGGCATGAGGACTAAGGATGTGGTGCCGAAGGTGTGAGTGAGTGATACACGAGTCTCAATGCAGATGAGACCACTGCTGACTTGTGTCCCCTGCCATTCACCTGTTCCATGCACTGATTGACATCTTGTTCACCTGTGCTGTGCTGTGCTGTGCTGTGCTGTGCTGTGCCGTGCAGGTATTCGTCTCTCTGTCTTCTCCAATCGTGACATACTCTCTAAGAGCAAAGAGGTGCGTGTCCCACCTGCTGTGCACCTGCTGCTGCTGCTGCTGTCTGCTGCACTTCTCCAACCATTGCTCCTTCCTCCCGTACGTGCGTGTGAGCATGGCAGATGGAGGCGGCCCTTGCGCGAGCAGATGTGTTCTTTGGCAGCCTCATATTCGACTACGATGAGGTGCGTGGGCATGTCGCTCAACGACCTGCTTGCACTGTGACGAGGTCTGCGTGATCATGTTGATGCATCCTTGCATCACAATGCGTCACGCTTCACCGCTTATTTTGTCTTTCGCAGGGATATCTCACGCTCCATGCCATTCCGTTCTCCCTTATTATCCGTTATCTATCCCTTCCCTTTTCGCACATAACCGTCCTTCAGCTTCCGCTTCCATCTTGCTCTCCTATAATCCTATTACCCCTGCACCCCATGTCTTCCCGCTTATCTGCGCCGCGTGTCGCCAGTGTGAGTGGCTGCAGCAGCGCATTCAGCGCGTCCCCATCCGTCTGGTGTTTGAGTCGTCTCTCGAGCTCATGGCCTCCACCACACTCGGCAGGTAGCCTCTTACCTCTTACCTCTTACCTCTTATCTCTTACCTCTTACCTCTTACCGCATGCATGCATCATCATACGTGCATGATGGGGTGATTGTCCTCTCGCAAGCTCATGATCACCATCACACCACACTCCGCTAGCATCTCCCACCAACCCTGGTTCTTCTCTCCTGCCCATTGCCCGTCCCTCCCTTCTTTTCCCTCCCCACTTCCCCCTCCCCCCTTCCCCATCCCCCCCTCTTCCTCTCCCCCTCAACCCCCCTCAGCTTTGCCATGTCAGGCGGCAAGAGCCAAGGCACGCCAGCACCGGTGAAAGCAGTGCTGTCCAAATTCAGCCGGGGGCGCGAGGAGGACCGCATGGTGGGGTACCTGAGCTTCCTCAAGGTCGCTCCCAAGCTGCTGGACTTATGTTGGGTTACTTAATCGTGCTCTTCCCCTCCTGCCCTCTTCCCCTTTCCCCCCACACCCCACCTCCCAGTTTCGCAATGTCAGGCGGCAAGAGCCAGGGCATGCCAGCGCCGGTGAAGGCGGTGCTATCCAAGTTCGGCGGGGGGCGCGAGGAGGACCGCATGGTGGGGTACCTGAGCTTCCTCAAGGTGGGCCCCAAGCTGCTGCGCTTCATCCCGGGCAAGAAGGCGCGCGACCTGCGCAACTGGCTCACCGTGTACGGCTACTGGAACCAGGGCGGGCTCGCGAATGTGGTCAACTTGTTCCTGTATCTCAGCAACGAGTACCTGCTCCCCACGGGGGTTACGGCCGGTGCTCCCATGGAGACCCCGCCGCTTGGGCTGTACCACCCTGATTACGGTGAGATGACAAGACAGAAACCACGGTGGGACAAGATGGCATCCCACATGCCGGATGGCCTCTTCACATGTTTCTGTCGCCATACATCCCAACGCCCAACTTCTACTCTATCCCCAAACCAACCCTCCCCCATCCCCCCTTCCCTTCCCCTTCTCCTTCCTCCCCTTCTTCCCCCTACCCCAGACGGCTACTTCACCTCCCCCAGCGATTACCTGCGCTGGTTCCGCGCATCCCAGAAGGGCCTCCCCCCCTCGGCTCCAGTAGTGGCCCTGCTGTTATACCGCAAGCACGTGGTGACGCAGCAGGCGTACATCCCGCGGCTCATCCGCATGGTGCAGGAGGCGGGGCTCATCCCGCTGCCCATCTTTATCAACGGCGTGGAGGCGCACACGGTGGTGCGGGACCTGCTCACCACGCAGTACGAGCAGGAGGAGAGAAGGAAGGGCGTGATGGCCACATCGTCGCTGTCAAGAGACGCTGTGACCGTGGATGCTGTGGTCAGCACCATCGGTGAGCATTGAGCATGTTGAGCTGGCCCATGGGGCTCTGCTCCCCTGGCAAGCAAACCCACATGTCCCCATGCTCCACTCTCACATCCTGTCCTTCCACTGTGTGCCATGTTCGTGTGTCACATCACATGTCTCCAGTTCAGAAGTTACCACCTCTCTGCCTTCTCTCTGCCTTCTCTCTGCCTTGTCTCTGCAAGCCTGCTCGTGTATCACATGTCTTCACACGATGTGTTTCCTCACACAACGTCTCTGCCTGTCACTGCAGGTTTCCCATTGGTGGGAGGACCCGCTGGTTCCATGGAGGGCGGCCGCCAGGCAGAGGTGCGACTCTGCTCTCTATCATCTCTCTCCTCGCTCTCCTTGCCCCCCCACCTCATTCGCTCTGTGCTCTCACCTCACGCCCCTTGCTCGTTGGTCCTTTCACTCAATCCACAATTCCTTTTTCCTCCCTGTTACCCCCTTCCCACACTCCCTCTACCCTGTGTTCAGCCCATCCATTCCTGCCTCATACACTACCCTTTCCTCTGTCCCTCTCTCTCGTCCGTTTCCCCATCCGTTTGACACCGCCCCCTCGTCCTCATCCCTCTCTTTTCATCTCAGGTGGCCAAGGCCATCCTGCTGGCCAAGAACGTGCCGTACATAGTGGCGGCGCCGCTGCTCATCCAGGACATTCCCAGCTGGAAGCGCGACGGCGTGCAGGGGCTGCAGTCCGTGGTGCTCTACTCGCTGCCCGAGCTGGACGGGGCCATCGATGCCGTGCCCCTAGGAGGGCTTGTGGGCGATGGCATCCACCTGGTAAGCAAGCACCTGGTGGTAGTCCTCTGGTAAGCTCTGCTGCTGTCACCTGGTGCAGGGGCTGCAGTCCGTGGTGCTCTACTCCCTGCCAGAGCTGGACGGGGACATCGATGCTGTGCCCCTAGGAGGGCTTGTGGGCGATGGCATCCACCTTCTAAGCACCTGGTAGTCACTCGTATGCTGCATTCACCTGCCATGCTCTGCTGCATTCACCTGCCATGCTCTGCTGCGTTCACCTGCCATGCTCTGCTGCATTCACCTGCCATGCTCTGCTGCGTTCACCTGCCATGCTCTGCTGCGTTCACCTTCTGCCCCAACTTCCGCCCAGGTGCCAGAGCAGGTGAGGCGATTGATGTCCGGACCAACCTATGGTGCACACAGAGAGCACAGCACAAGTTGGCATCTGTGCAGCATGGCTTCCCTCCTCCACCCCCGCACGCCACCCCAGGTGCCAGAGCGTGTGAGGCGGCTGACGTCTCGGCTGTGGAGCTGGATCAACCTGCGGCGCACCGAGAAATCCCAGCGCAAGGTGGCCATCGTGCTATACGGCTTCCCCCCTGGCGTCGGCGCCACTGGCACAGCTGCTCTGCTCAATGTGCCCAAGTCACTGGAGGCGCTGCTCAAGCGGATGCACGCGGATGGGTGAGTGAGATGCGTGGAGGGGGGTGATGTGTACTATTCGAGGAGGGTGCGAGGGGAACGTGCTGAGAGGCGTGGAGGGGAAACTCTGAGTAGAGTCGGGCGCCACCGGCACAGCTGCTCTGCTCAACGTGCCCAAGTCCCTGGAGGCGCTGCTCAAGCGGATGCACGCTGACGGGTGAGATGATTGCGCTGAGAGGGAGGGGTGTTGTTGTAGAGTGAGAGGGTTGAGAGGATTGAGAGAGAGGTGGTAGTGGTGGAACGAGTGAGGTGAGATGGACCCGCTGATATCGGTGGCGGAGAATGAGCAGGCGTGCCCAGGTCACTGCAGGCGTTGCTCACGAGGATGCACGCAGTCTGGTGAGAGGAGCTAGCTGGGTACATCGGCATCGAGTGGAAGGCATGCATGGTCCATATTGGTGCAGCTGCATCCAACTCGACTTCTGCACTGCTCTCGCCCTTCGCTTCTTCACCCCTCCCCTGCACCCGCCCCCCTCCACCAGCTACGACCTAGGCCCAGCAGGGGAGGCGATAGCCCGAGACGGAATCAACGGTGAGGATCTGATCTCGCTGCTGCAGGAGCTGGACGCGGACAGGGTGGTGTCGGCAGGGGAGAAGGGCCCGGAGCTGGCGCTCAAGGCCGTCAACGACAAGCTGCAGCGCGCAGAGGACGGACCGCGGAGCATTCCCGAGGGAGTGGTGCCCGTGGCGGAGTGCATTGACTGGCGGCAGCTCAGAGACTGGATTGGGTGAGTTCGGGTGTGACTGGGAGAAGTGGAGGGCAGGGAAGAGGGGCCCCGAGCTGGCCCTCAAGGCCGTCAATGACAAGCTGCAGCGCGCAGAGGACGGACCGCGGAGCATTCCTGAAGGGGTGGTGCCCGTGGCAGAGTGCATTGACTGGCGGCAGCTCAGAGACTGGATTGGGTGAGTCCGGGTTGACATGGGCTGATGGGTTGGGGAGAAGGATCCAGAGCAAGCCCTCAGAGCCGTGAATACAAAGCTGCAGCGGGCAGAAGCGGGCGCTTGGAGTGTTCCTGAGAGGGTGGTGCCTGTGGCAGAGTGCGCTGTCTGGCGGCAGCTCAGAGAATGGATTGGGTGAGTTCGGGTTGGTTCGACATGGTTAGCCAGTGGGGAGAGCGGGCCAGAGTAGGCAGTCAGGGCTGGCTCAGTCAATCCGGAGCTGCTCTTTCCCCACGCTTCCTGTCTGTCAGCCTTTCTATATTCCCTTTGCTCCCCTTCACGCCCTTGTGGCGTGCAGGGAGACGCTGACGGGGCGCATGGAGAGGGCGTGGGTTAGTTTTGAAACGTCTCAAAATTAACCTTTCCCCGCACTCCCCTGCTCACCTTCGCACCCTTGTGGCGTGCAGGGAGACGCTGACAGGGCGCATGGAGAGGGCGTGGGGCGAGCTGAGGAAGATCCGCGCCATCCACTGCGATGCTGAGGGCAGGAGCGTCATCAGCGGCATCCAGCTGGGGAACGTGTGGTGCGTATAGCCCACATACTGTGGTGAGAGTCTATGACGTGTGGTGCGTATAGCCCACATACTGTGGTGAGAGTCTTTGACGTGTGGTGCGTATAGCCCACATACTGTGGTGAGAGTCTTTGACGTGTGGTGCGTATAGCCCACATACTGTGGTGAGAGTCTTTGACGTGTGGTGCATATAGCCCACATACTGTGGTGAGAGTCTTTGACGTGTGGTGCGTAAAGCCCACATACTGTGGTGAGAGTCTTTGACGTGTGGTGCATATAGCCCACATACTGTGGTGAGAGTCTTTGACGTGTGGTGCGTATAGCCCCACATACTGCGGTGAGAGTCTTTGACGTGTGGTGCGTATAGCCCACTTACTGTGGTGAGAGTCTTTGACGTGTGGTGCGTATAGCCCACATACTGCGGTGAGAGTCTTTGACGTGTGGTGCGTATAGCCCACTTACTGTGGTGAGAGTCTTTGACGTGTGGTGCGTATAGCCCACATACTGTGGTGAGAGTCTTTGACGTGTGGTGCGTATAGCCCCACATTCTGCGGTGAGAGTCTTTGACGTGTGGTGCGTATAGCCCACTTACTGTGGTGAGAGTCTTTGACGTGTGGTGCGTATAGCCCACATACTGCGGTGAGAGTCTTTGACGTGTGGTGCGTATAGCCCACTTACTGTGGTGAGAGTCTTTGACGTGTGGTGCGTATAGCCCACATACTGCGGTGAGAGTCTTTGACGTGTGGTGCGTATAGCCCACATACTGTGGTGAGAGTCTTTGACGTGTGGTGCGTATAGCCCACATACTGTGGTGAGAGTCTTTGACGTGTGGTGCGTAAAGCCCACATACTGTGGTGAGAGTCTTTGACGTGTGGTGCGTATAGCCCACATACTGTGGTGAGAGTCTTTGACGTGTGGTGCGTAAAGCCCACATACTGTGGTGAGAGTCTTTGACGTGTGGTGCGTATAGCCCACATACTGCGGTGAGAGTCTTTGACGTGTGGTGCGTATAGCCCACATACTGCGGTGAGAGTCTTTGACGTGTGGTGCGTATAGCCCACTTACTGTGGTGAGAGTCTTTGACGTGTGGTGCGTATAGCCCACATACTGTGGTGAGAGTCTTTGACGTGTGGTGCGTATAGCCCACATACTGTGGTGAGAGTCTTTGACGTGTGGTGCGTATAGCCCACATACTGTGGTGAGAGTCTTTGACGTGTGGTGCGTATAGCCCACATACTGTGGTGAGAGTCTTTGACGTGTGGTGCGTATAGCCCACATACTGTGGTGAGAGTCTTTGACGTGTGGTGCGTATAGCCCACATACTGTGGTGAGAGTCTTTGACGTGTGGTGCGTATAGCCCACATACTGTGGTGAGAGTCTTTGACGTGTGGTGCGTATAGCCCACATACTGTGGTGAGAGTCTTTGACGTGTGGTGCGTATAGCCCACATACTGTGGTGAGAGTCTTTGACGTGTGGTGCGTATAGCCCACATACTGTGGTGAGAGTCTTTGACGTGTGGTGCGTATAGCCCACATACTGTGGTGAGAGTCTTTGACGTGTGGTGCGTATAGCCCACATACTGTGGTGAGAGTCTTTGACGTGTGGTGCGTATAGCCCACATACTGTGGTGAGAGTCTTTGACGTGTGGTGCGTATAGCCCACATACTGTGGTGAGAGTCTTTGACGTGTGGTGCGTATAGCCCACATACTGTGGTGAGAGTCTTTGACGTGTGGTGCGTATAGCCCACATACTGTGGTGAGAGTCTTTGACGTGTGGTGCGTATAGCCCACATACTGTGGTGAGAGTCTTTGACGTGTGGTGCGTATAGCCCACATACTGTGGTGAGAGTCTTTGACGTGTGGTGCGTATAGCCCACATACTGTGGTGAGAGTCTTTGACGTGTGGTGCGTATAGCCCACATACTGTGGTGAGAGTCTTTGACGTGTGGTGCGTATAGCCCACATACTGTGGTGAGAGTCTTTGACGTGTGGTGCGTATAGCCCACATACTGTGGTGAGAGTCTTTGACGTGTGGTGCGTATAGCCCACATACTGTGGTGAGAGTCTTTGACGTGTGGTGCGTATAGCCCACATACTGTGGTGAGAGTCTTTGACGTGTGGTGCGTATAGCCCACATACTGTGGTGAGAGTCTTTGACGTGTGGTGCGTATAGCCCACATACTGTGGTGAGAGTCTTTGACGTGTGGTGCGTATAGCCCACATACTGTGGTGAGAGTCTTTGACGTGTGGTGCGTATAGCCCACATACTGTGGTGAGAGTCTTTGACGTGTGGTGCGTATAGCCCACATACTGTGGTGAGAGTCTTTGACGTGTGGTGCGTATAGCCCACATACTGTGGTGAGAGTCTTTGACGTGTGGTGCGTATAGCCCACATACTGTGGTGAGAGTCTTTGACGTGTGGTGCGTATAGCCCACATACTGTGGTGAGAGTCTTTGACGTGTGGTGCGTATAGCCCACATACTGTGGTGAGAGTCTTTGACGTGTGGTGCGTATAGCCCACATACTGTGGTGAGAGTCTTTGACGTGTGGTGCGTATAGCCCACATACTGTGGTGAGAGTCTTTGACGTGTGGTGCGTATAGCCCACATACTGTGGTGAGAGTCTTTGACGTGTGGTGCGTATAGCCCACATACTGTGGTGAGAGTCTTTGACGTGTGGTGCGTATAGCCCACATACTGTGGTGAGAGTCTTTGACGTGTGGTGCGTATAGCCCACATACTGTGGTGAGAGTCTTTGACGTGTGGTGCGTATAGCCCACATACTGTGGTGAGAGTCTTTGACGTGTGGTGCGTATAGCCCACATACTGTGGTGAGAGTCTTTGACGTGTGGTGCGTATAGCCCACATACTGTGGTGAGAGTCTTTGACGTGTGGTGCGTATAGCCCACATACTGTGGTGAGAGTCTTTGACGTGTGGTGCGTATAGCCCACATACTGTGGTGAGAGTCTTTGACGTGTGGTGCGTATAGCCCACATACTGTGGTGAGAGTCTTTGACGTGTGGTGCGTATAGCCCACATACTGTGGTGAGAGTCTTTGACGTGTGGTGCGTATAGCCCACATACTGTGGTGAGAGTCTTTGACGTGTGGTGCGTATAGCCCACATACTGTGGTGAGAGTCTTTGACGTGTGGTGCGTATAGCCCACATACTGTGGTGAGAGTCTTTGACGTGTGGTGCGTATAGCCCACATACTGTGGTGAGAGTCTTTGACGTGTGGTGCGTATAGCCCACATACTGTGGTGAGAGTCTTTGACGTGTGGTGCGTATAGCCCACATACTGTGGTGAGAGTCTTTGACGTGTGGTGCGTATAGCCCACATACTGTGGTGAGAGTCTTTGACGTGTGGTGCGTATAGCCCACATACTGTGGTGAGAGTCTTTGACGTGTGGTGCGTATAGCCCACATACTGTGGTGAGAGTCTTTGACGTGTGGTGCGTATAGCCCACATACTGTGGTGAGAGTCTTTGACGTGTGGTGCGTATAGCCCACATACTGTGGTGAGAGTCTTTGACGTGTGGTGCGTATAGCCCACATACTGTGGTGAGAGTCTTTGACGTGTGGTGCGTATAGCCCACATACTGTGGTGAGAGTCTTTGACGTGTGGTGCGTATAGCCCACATACTGTGGTGAGAGTCTTTGACGTGTGGTGCGTATAGCCCACATACTGTGGTGAGAGTCTTTGACGTGTGGTGCGTATAGCCCACATACTGTGGTGAGAGTCTTTGACGTGTGGTGCGTATAGCCCACATACTGTGGTGAGAGTCTTTGACGTGTGGTGCGTATAGCCCACATACTGTGGTGAGAGTCTTTGACGTGTGGTGCGTATAGCCCACATACTGTGGTGAGAGTCTTTGACGTGTGGTGCGTATAGCCCACATACTGTGGTGAGAGTCTTTGACGTGTGGTGCGTATAGCCCACATACTGTGGTGAGAGTCTTTGACGTGTGGTGCGTATAGCCCACATACTGTGGTGAGAGTCTTTGACGTGTGGTGCGTATAGCCCACATACTGTGGTGAGAGTCTTTGACGTGTGGTGCGTATAGCCCACATACTGTGGTGAGAGTCTTTGACGTGTGGTGCGTATAGCCCACATACTGTGGTGAGAGTCTTTGACGTGTGGTGCGTATAGCCCACATACTGTGGTGAGAGTCTTTGACGTGTGGTGCGTATAGCCCACATACTGTGGTGAGAGTCTTTGACGTGTGGTGCGTATAGCCCACATACTGTGGTGAGAGTCTTTGACGTGTGGTGCGTATAGCCCACATACTGTGGTGAGAGTCTTTGACGTGTGGTGCGTATAGCCCACATACTGTGGTGAGAGTCTTTGACGTGTGGTGCGTATAGCCCACATACTGTGGTGAGAGTCTTTGACGTGTGGTGCGTATAGCCCACATACTGTGGTGAGAGTCTTTGACGTGTGGTGCGTATAGCCCACATACTGTGGTGAGAGTCTTTGACGTGTGGTGCGTATAGCCCACATACTGTGGTGAGAGTCTTTGACGTGTGGTGCGTATAGCCCACATACTGTGGTGAGAGTCTTTGACGTGTGGTGCGTATAGCCCACATACTGTGGTGAGAGTCTTTGACGTGTGGTGCGTATAGCCCACATACTGTGGTGAGAGTCTTTGACGTGTGGTGCGTATAGCCCACATACTGTGGTGAGAGTCTTTGACGTGTGGTGCGTATAGCCCACATACTGTGGTGAGAGTCTTTGACGTGTGGTGCGTATAGCCCACATACTGTGGTGAGAGTCTTTGACGTGTGGTGCGTATAGCCCACATACTGTGGTGAGAGTCTTTGACGTGTGGTGCGTATAGCCCACATACTGTGGTGAGAGTCTTTGACGTGTGGTGCGTATAGCCCACATACTGTGGTGAGAGTCTTTGACGTGTGGTGCGTATAGCCCACATACTGTGGTGAGAGTCTTTGACGTGTGGTGCGTATAGCCCACATACTGTGGTGAGAGTCTTTGACGTGTGGTGCGTATAGCCCACATACTGTGGTGAGAGTCTTTGACGTGTGGTGCGTATAGCCCACATACTGTGGTGAGAGTCTTTGACGTGTGGTGCGTATAGCCCACATACTGTGGTGAGAGTCTTTGACGTGTGGTGCGTATAGCCCACATACTGTGGTGAGAGTCTTTGACGTGTGGTGCGTATAGCCCACATACTGTGGTGAGAGTCTTTGACGTGTGGTGCGTATAGCCCACATACTGTGGTGAGAGTCTTTGACGTGTGGTGCGTATAGCCCACATACTGTGGTGAGAGTCTTTGACGTGTGGTGCGTATAGCCCACATACTGTGGTGAGAGTCTTTGACGTGTGGTGCGTATAGCCCACATACTGTGGTGAGAGTCTTTGACGTGTGGTGCGTATAGCCCACATACTGTGGTGAGAGTCTTTGACGTGTGGTGCGTATAGCCCACATACTGTGGTGAGAGTCTTTGACGTGTGGTGCGTATAGCCCACATACTGTGGTGAGAGTCTTTGACGTGTGGTGCGTATAGCCCACATACTGTGGTGAGAGTCTTTGACGTGTGGTGCGTATAGCCCACATACTGTGGTGAGAGTCTTTGACGTGTGGTGCGTATAGCCCACATACTGTGGTGAGAGTCTTTGACGTGTGGTGCGTATAGCCCACATACTGTGGTGAGAGTCTTTGACGTGTGGTGCGTATAGCCCACATACTGTGGTGAGAGTCTTTGACGTGTGGTGCGTATAGCCCACATACTGTGGTGAGAGTCTTTGACGTGTGGTGCGTATAGCCCACATACTGTGGTGAGAGTCTTTGACGTGTGGTGCGTATAGCCCACATACTGTGGTGAGAGTCTTTGACGTGTGGTGCGTATAGCCCACATACTGTGGTGAGAGTCTTTGACGTGTGGTGCGTATAGCCCACATACTGTGGTGAGAGTCTTTGACGTGTGGTGCGTATAGCCCACATACTGTGGTGAGAGTCTTTGACGTGTGGTGCGTATAGCCCACATACTGTGGTGAGAGTCTTTGACGTGTGGTGCGTATAGCCCACATACTGTGGTGAGAGTCTTTGACGTGTGGTGCGTATAGCCCACATACTGTGGTGAGAGTCTTTGACGTGTGGTGCGTATAGCCCACATACTGTGGTGAGAGTCTTTGACGTGTGGTGCGTATAGCCCACATACTGTGGTGAGAGTCTTTGACGTGTGGTGCGTATAGCCCACATACTGTGGTGAGAGTCTTTGACGTGTGGTGCGTATAGCCCACATACTGTGGTGAGAGTCTTTGACGTGTGGTGCGTATAGCCCACATACTGTGGTGAGAGTCTTTGACGTGTGGTGCGTATAGCCCACATACTGTGGTGAGAGTCTTTGACGTGTGGTGCGTATAGCCCACATACTGTGGTGAGAGTCTTTGACGTGTGGTGCGTATAGCCCACATACTGTGGTGAGAGTCTTTGACGTGTGGTGCGTATAGCCCACATACTGTGGTGAGAGTCTTTGACGTGTGGTGCGTATAGCCCACATACTGTGGTGAGAGTCTTTGACGTGTGGTGCGTATAGCCCACATACTGTGGTGAGAGTCTTTGACGTGTGGTGCGTATAGCCCACATACTGTGGTGAGAGTCTTTGACGTGTGGTGCGTATAGCCCACATACTGTGGTGAGAGTCTTTGACGTGTGGTGCGTATAGCCCACATACTGTGGTGAGAGTCTTTGACGTGTGGTGCGTATAGCCCACATACTGTGGTGAGAGTCTTTGACGTGTGGTGCGTATAGCCCACATACTGTGGTGAGAGTCTTTGACGTGTGGTGCGTATAGCCCACATACTGTGGTGAGAGTCTTTGACGTGTGGTGCGTATAGCCCACATACTGTGGTGAGAGTCTTTGACGTGTGGTGCGTATAGCCCACATACTGTGGTGAGAGTCTTTGACGTGTGGTGCGTATAGCCCACATACTGTGGTGAGAGTCTTTGACGTGTGGTGCGTATAGCCCACATACTGTGGTGAGAGTCTTTGACGTGTGGTGCGTATAGCCCACATACTGTGGTGAGAGTCTTTGACGTGTGGTGCGTATAGCCCACATACTGTGGTGAGAGTCTTTGACGTGTGGTGCGTATAGCCCACATACTGTGGTGAGAGTCTTTGACGTGTGGTGCGTATAGCCCACATACTGTGGTGAGAGTCTTTGACGTGTGGTGCGTATAGCCCACATACTGTGGTGAGAGTCTTTGACGTGTGGTGCGTATAGCCCACATACTGTGGTGAGAGTCTTTGACGTGTGGTGCGTATAGCCCACATACTGTGGTGAGAGTCTTTGACGTGTGGTGCGTATAGCCCACATACTGTGGTGAGAGTCTTTGACGTGTGGTGCGTATAGCCACATATGTGGTGAGAGTCTTTGACGTGTGGTGCGTATAGCCCACATACTGTGGTGAGAGTCTTTGACGTGTGGTGCGTATAGCCCACATACTGTGGTGAGAGTCTTTGACGTGTGGTGCGTATAGCCCACATACTGTGGTGAGAGTCTTTGACGTGTGGTGCGTATAGCCCACATACTGTGGTGAGAGTCTTTGACGTGTGGTGCGTATAGCCCACATACTGTGGTGAGAGTCTTTGACGTGTGGTGCGTATAGCCCACATACTGTGGTGAGAGTCTTTGACGTGTGGTGCGTATAGCCCACATACTGTGGTGAGAGTCTTTGACGTGTGGTGCGTATAGCCCACATACTGTGGTGAGAGTCTTTGACGTGTGGTGCGTATAGCCCACATACTGTGGTGAGAGTCTTTGACGTGTGGTGCGTATAGCCCACATACTGTGGTGAGAGTCTTTGACGTGTGGTGCGTATAGCCCACATACTGTGGTGAGAGTCTTTGACGTGTGGTGCGTATAGCCCACATACTGTGGTGAGAGTCTTTGACGTGTGGTGCGTATAGCCCACATACTGTGGTGAGAGTCTTTGACGTGTGGTGCGTATAGCCCACATACTGTGGTGAGAGTCTTTGACGTGTGGTGCGTATAGCCCACATACTGTGGTGAGAGTCTTTGACGTGTGGTGCGTATAGCCCACATACTGTGGTGAGAGTCTTTGACGTGTGGTGCGTATAGCCCACATACTGTGGTGAGAGTCTTTGACGTGTGGTGCGTATAGCCCACATACTGTGGTGAGAGTCTTTGACGTGTGGTGCGTATAGCCCACATACTGTGGTGAGAGTCTTTGACGTGTGGTGCGTATAGCCCACATAGTGTGGTGAAAGGCTTTGACGTGTGGTGCGTACAGCCCACATATTGTGGTGAGAGTCTTTGACGTGTGGTGCGTATAGCCCACATATTGCGGTGAGAGTCTTTGACGTGTGGTGCGTATAGCCCACATACTGTGGTGAGAGTCTTTGACGTGTGGTGCGTATAGCCCACATACTGTGGTGAGAGTCTTTGACGTGTGGTGCGTATAGCCCACATACTGTGGTGAGAGTCTTTGACGTGTGGTGCGTATAGCCCACATACTGTGGTGAGAGTCTTTGACGTGTGGTGCGTATAGCCCACATACTGTGGTGAGAGTCTTTGACGTGTGGTGCGTATAGCCCACATAGTGTGGTGAGAGGCTTTGACGTGTGGTGCGTACAGCCCACATATTGTGGTGAGAGTCTTTGACGTGTGGTGCGTATAGCCCACATACTGTGGTGAGAGTCTTTGACGTGTGGTGCGTAAAGCCCACATATTGTGGTGAGAGTCTTTGACGTGTGGTGCGTATAGCCCACATACTGCGGCGAGAGTCTTTGACGTGTGGTGCGTATAGCCCACATACTGCGGTGAGAGTCTTTGACGTGTGGTGCGTATAGCCCACATACTGTGGTGAGAGTCTTTGACGTGTGGTGCGTAAAGCCCACATAGTGTGGTGAGAGTCTTTGACGTGTGGTGCGTATAGCCCACATACTGTGGTGAGAGTCTTTGACGTGTGGTGCGTATAGCCCACTTACGTGTGGTGAGAGTCTTTGACGTGTGGTGCGTATAGCCCACATACTGTGGTGAGAGTCTTTGACGTGTGGTGCGTATAGCCCACATACTGTGGTGAGAGTCTTTGACGTGTGGTGCGTATAGCCCACATACTGTGGTGAGAGTCTTTGACGTGTGGTGCGTATAGCCCACATACTGTGGTGAGAGTCTTTGACGTGTGGTGCGTATAGCCCACATACTGTGGTGAGAGTCTTTGACGTGTGGTGCGTATAGCCCACATACTGTGGTGAGAGTCTTTGACGTGTGGTGCGTATAGCCCACATACTGTGGTGAGAGTCTTTGACGTGTGGTGCGTATAGCCCACATACTGTGGTGAGAGTCTTTGACGTGTGGTGCGTATAGCCCACATAGTGTGGTGAGAGTCTTTGACGTGTGGTGCGTATAGCCCACATATTGTGGTGAGAGTCTTTGACGTGTGGTGCGTATAGCCCACATACTGTGGTGAGAGTCTTTGACGTGTGGTGAATTTTGACGATGTTGGCTGCTGCTGCTGCTGCTGCCCGCACAGAACCAGACTCTGCACAGCAGCAGCTGCACTCACCTCTCTGATCAGGTCCCCCCTCCCCACCTCTCACTTTTCTCAACCTTTTACACATTCTCTACTGTGCCCCAATGATACTATCTGGTCTTCCCCTCCCCATTCCTCTCCCCCTTCGGGCCCTGCAGGATCGGGGTGCAGCCGCTGCTGGGGCTGGAGGGTGACCCCATGCGCCTACTGTTTGAGCGCGACCTCACCCCGCACCCCCAGTACGCAGCCTTCTACAAGTGGCTGCAGCGCGGGATGCAGGCCAACGCGGTGGTGCACTTTGGCATGCACGGCACCGTGGAGTGGCTGCCAGGCAGCCCGCTGGGGAACACAGGTCTGATTCAGGGTCTAGTAAAATGGCAGAGCTGTGTTGAATGGCATGAGTTTTGTGTGCTGTGCTTGAGTGCATGTCGTCCCTCTATCGACCCTGCCTCATCCCTCCTCACTACCCCACCCTCCGTCTGCTTGCCCCTGCAGGCCTCTCCTGGTCGGACGTGCTCCTGGGCAACCTCCCCAACATGTGAGTCCCCAGATACCCCTTAGAGTGAGTCCCAACACGTGTTTCCCACTTGCAACCATGCTGCCCCCACATACCCCTAAACCCCAAACCCTGCACCAGAAGCCCTTTTTTTGTGCCCTCTTGCTGTCGGGCTGTCCATGCCCCCATGCCATGATATGTTACCTAACACACCCGTCACTGTTGCATGCCCTCCTTGCTGCTTACCCCCATCAGCTACATCTATGCGGCGAACAACCCGTCCGAGTCCATCATCGCCAAGAGGCGCGGCTACGGCACCATCGTGTCGTACAACGTGCCGCCGTACGGGCGAGCAGGGCTGTACAAGGAGCTTGCAGGCTTGAGGGAACTGGTGAGAAGAGAACCAGCAGGGCAGGGAGGGCTGGTGAGAACCAGCAGGGCAGGGAGGGCTGGTGAGAACCAGCACGGCTGAGACGGTTGGTGTCTTGTGAGGCTCCGTAGAGCAAGAGATGGGTTGGGCACCACGCTTCCCTGTTATGTGCTGAAGGCTGGCCTGTGTCCTTTTCATGTATCCCCCAGTCTCCCATTCCCTATCCCGCACCCTGTGCAGGTACTTTCAGATCTGGGGGGACCCAGTGAAGAAAGAGCCTGTGACGCCGGCCGTAGTGGGCGTGCTGGTGACATTCTCCCACGTCCCACGTGTCCCCCAATCACCCCTTTCCGTCTCCCATCGGCTGTGCCTCAACGCAGACCTTGACTTCCGGGAGGACCCGGTGAAGAACGAGTCGCTGATGCCAGCAATTGTGGGCGTGCTGGTGGCACTCTCCAGCGTCCCACACCTTCCCAAAAGACCCACTCTCACTCCCCATCCGTCGTGCCCCGTGCAGATCTCAGAGTTCCGCGAGGACCCTGTGAGGAACGAGTCTCTGAAGCCAGCCATAGTGGGGACATTGATGACGGCATGCCTGCAGGCGTGTTTCTGAGACGTCGTAAGAACAGCCGTCCGTCTCCCCGCTGCCCCGTGCAGATCTCTGAGTTCCGGGAGGATCCTGTGAAGAACGAGTCGCTGAAGCCAGCCATAGTGGGCGCGCTGGTGACGGCGGGAATGCAGGCGGACTGCCCCTTCGTGCCGTCGGACGGCTCCAATGGTGGCGAGGCGGTGTTTCTGGACGAGGAGAGCATCGAGGAGGTGACTGAGGAGGACTTTGAGAAGTACCTCGTGAAGCTCTATGAGTACCTGGTGAGTGAGGGAGTGAGTGAGTGAGTGAGTGAGGGGGTGAGTGAGTGCCCTCGGATGGCTCCAGTGGCGGCGAGGCGGTCTTTCAGGACGAGGTGAGCATCGAGGGCGTGGCTGAGGAGGACTTTGATATGTACCTCGTGAAGCTCTACGAGTACCTGGTGAGTGAGGGAGTGAGTGAGAGGGTGAGTCAGTGAGTGAGTGAGTGTGTGAGTGAGAGGGCGAGTTTGTGTGAACAGTATTGAGTGTATAGCGAGGCGCACTTCTGTTCGCCTCCGTCTAGTGGCTGCTTACCCTCGTCCATTTTCCACCTTCCTTTTGCCTCTCCTCCCCCCGTTTCTTGCCACCCCCTCCACCCCCTCCCCCCCTTCCCCCCCCCTCTTCTTCCCAATCCAATCACTTCGCATCCTTGCCACTCAGGCGGTGGTGGAGAACCGTCTGTTCTCAGAGGGGCTGCACAATCTGGGCCGTCCACCCAAGGAGGATCAGATGGTGCAGTACCTGTCGGCCTACTTTGGCGATGACCTCGACGAGACGGCCATAGAGGCAGTTGCACACACTCACGGTGACCTGGCAGAGGTGAGTTATGGGAGGAGACGGTGACAGGCGGTGACCACTGGTGATGGGTGGTGGTGGGCGGTGGGTGCTGACAGGCGAAGACGGCATGGACGGATGGTAACGGGCAGTGACGGGCGGTGGCGGGCGGTGACGGGGGATGACGGGCGGTGAACGGCGGGGGCGGGCGGTGATGGGCGGTTACAGGCAGTGACGGGCGGTGGCGGGCGGTGACGGGCGGTGACAGGGGGTACCAGGCGGTGACGGGCGGTGACTGGCGGTGGTGGGCGGTGGCGGGCGGTGGTGGGCGGTGACGGGCGGCGACGGGCGGTGGTGGGCGGGGGCGGGCGGGGCCGCACAGTGCTGGGCGGTGGCGGACGGTGGCGGGCGGTGGCGGGGGGTGACCGGTGGTGACCGGTGGTGACTGGCGGTGACGGGCGGTGGCGGGCGGTGGCGGGAGGTGGCGGACGGTGGCGGGCGGTGGCGGGCGGAGGCGGGGGGTGATGGGCCATGACCTGTAGTGACGTGGTGGGCGGTGCCAGGCGGTGATGGGCAGTGACTGGCGGTGGCGGGCGGTGACGGGCGGTGGCGGGCGGTGGCGGGCGGTGACGGGTGGTGACTGGCGGTGCCAGGTGGTGGCGGGTGGTGGCGGGCGGTGGCGGGCGGTGGCGTGCGGTGACGGGCGGTGGCGGGCGGTGGCGGACGGTGGCAGGCAATGGCGGGCGGGTGGTGCAAGGGGCTTGGTAGCATTCTAGGGGGATGGGTTGCATTCTAGGTTGCATTGTAGGGGGCTTGGTTGCACGCTAGGGGTCTCGGTTGCATTCTAGGGGGGTTTGTTTGCCTAATAAGGGGGCTAGGAGGTCATGGGGTGAGGTGCGGGGGATAGAGGAATGGTGGATGGAAGGTTTGGTGAAGTACCTTAAGTAGCTGATGCTCAAAGGATCACTTTCCTCTCATTCCTGTCTCCCCGTACCTGTATTCCCGCACCTATCCCACCATGCCTGCCTGTCCCACAGGTTCGGCAGCGCTTGGAGCAGCTGTACCTGAGGGACGGCGTGGTGCTGCCCGCACGGGATGCTGAGGTGGACGCCCGTGTGGCGGAGGCGGTGAGCATCAGACAGCTGCTGGCGCGCAACACAGAGGAGATGGACAACGTGCTGAGGGGGCTGGATGGTGAGAGGATGAGGGGGGTTGATGGCAGACGTGGGGGGGTGGTGGGGGAGCTACTGAGTGAGGGCGCTACTGGGTGAGGGTGCTTCTAGGCTTTGGGCCCACCTCCAATCGTTTTCATCCTGGAGAAAACACTCTATCTCCACCCTCCATACCCCATCCTCCCTATCCCATAACCCATGTTCCATCCCCCATATCTCTATTTCCCTCCCCTGCAGGTGATTACGTGCCTCCTGCTGTGGGGGGAGACCTGCTCAGAGATGGGCCAGGTGAGGGCTTCAGTACTGGCCAGGTGAGGGCTTCAGTACTGGCCAGGGGGGGGCTTCAGTACTGGCCAGGTGAGGGCTTCAGTACTGGCCAGGTGAGGGCTTCAGTACTGGCCAGGTGAGGGCTTCAGTACTGGCCAGGTGAGGGCTTCAGTACTGGCCAGGTGAGGGCTTCAGTACTGGCCAGGTGAGGGCTTCAGTACTGGCCAGGTGAGGGCTTCAGTACTGGCCAGGTGAGGGCTTCAGTACTGGCCAGGTGAGGGCTTCAGTACTGGCCAGGTGAGGGCTTCAGTACTGGCCAGGTGAGGGCTTCAGTACTGGCCAGGTGAGGGCTTCAGTACTGGCCAGGTGAGGGCTTCAGTACTGGCCAGGTGAGGGCTTCAGTACTGGCCAGGTGAGGGCTTCAGTACTGGCCAGGTGAGGGCTTCAGTACTGGCCAGGTGAGGGCTTCAGTACTGGCCAGGTGAGGGCTTCAGTACTGGCCAGGTGAGGGCTTCAGTACTGGCCAGGTGAGGGCTTCAGTACTGGCCAGGTGAGGGCTTCAGTACTGGCCAGGTGAGGGCTTCAGTACTGGCCAGGTGAGGGCTTCAGTACTGGCCAGGTGAGGGCTTCAGTACTGGCCAGGTGAGGGCTTCAGTACTGGCCAGGTGAGGGCTTCAGTACTGGCCAGGTGAGGGCTTCAGTACTGGCCAGGTGAGGGCTTCAGTACTGGCCAGGTGAGGGCTTCAGTACTGGCCAGGTGAGGGCTTCAGTACTGGCCAGGTGAGGGCTTCAGTACTGGCCAGGTGAGGGCTTCAGTACTGGCCAGGTGAGGGCTTCAGTACTGGCCAGGTGAGGGCTTCAGTACTGGCCAGGTGAGGGCTTCAGTACTGGCCAGGTGAGGGCTTCAGTACTGGCCAGGTGAGGGCTTCAGTACTGGCCAGGTGAGGGCTTCAGTACTGGCCAGGTGAGGGCTTCAGTACTGGCCAGGTGAGGGCTTCAGTACTGGCCAGGTGAGGGCTTCAGTACTGGCCAGGTGAGGGCTTCAGTACTGGCCAGGTGAGGGCTTCAGTACTGGCCAGGTGAGGGCTTCAGTACTGGCCAGGTGAGGGCTTCAGTACTGGCCAGGTGAGGGCTTCAGTACTGGCCAGGTGAGGGCTTCAGTACTGGCCAGGTGAGGGCTTCAGTACTGGCCAGGTGAGGGCTTCAGTACTGGCCAGGTGAGGGCTTCAGTACTGGCCAGGTGAGGGCTTCAGTACTGGCCAGGTGAGGGCTTCAGTACTGGCCAGGTGAGGGCTTCAGTACTGGCCAGGTGAGGGCTTCAGTACTGGCCAGGTGAGGGCTTCAGTACTGGCCAGGTGAGGGCTTCAGTACTGGCCAGGTGAGGGCTTCAGTACTGGCCAGGTGAGGGCTTCAGTACTGGCCAGGTGAGGGCTTCAGTACTGGCCAGGTGAGGGCTTCAGTACTGGCCAGGTGAGGGCTTCAGTACTGGCCAGGTGAGGGCTTCAGTACTGGCCAGGTGAGGGCTTCAGTACTGGCCAGGTGAGGGCTTCAGTACTGGCCAGGTGAGGGCTTCAGTACTGGCCAGGTGAGGGCTTCAGTACTGGCCAGGTGAGGGCTTCAGTACTGGCCAGGTGAGGGCTTCAGTACTGGCCAGGTGAGGGCTTCAGTACTGGCCAGGTGAGGGCTTCAGTACTGGCCAGGTGAGGGCTTCAGTACTGGCCAGGTGAGGGCTTCAGTACTGGCCAGGTGAGGGCTTCAGTACTGGCCAGGTGAGGGCTTCAGTACTGGCCAGACTGCAGGTGAGGGCTTCAGTACTGGCCAGGTGAGGGCTTCAGTACTGGCCAGGTGAGGGCTTCAGTACTGGCCAGGTGAGGGCTTCAGTACTGGCCAGGTGAGGGCTTCAGTACTGGCCAGGTGAGGGCTTCAGTACTGGCCAGGTGAGGGCTTCAGTACTGGCCAGGTGAGGGCTTCAGTACTGGCCAGGTGAGGGCTTCAGTACTGGCCAGGTGAGGGCTTCAGTACTGGCCAGGTGAGGGCTTCAGTACTGGCCAGGTGAGGGCTTCAGTACTGGCCAGGTGAGGGCTTCAGTACTGGCCAGGTGAGGGCTTCAGTACTGGCCAGGTGAGGGCTTCAGTACTGGCCAGGTGAGGGCTTCAGTACTGGCCAGGTGAGGGCTTCAGTACTGGCCAGGTGAGGGCTTCAGTACTGGCCAGGTGAGGGCTTCAGTACTGGCCAGGTGAGGGCTTCAGTACTGGCCAGGTGAGGGCTTCAGTACTGGCCAGGTGAGGGCTTCAGTACTGGCCAGGTGAGGGCTTCAGTACTGGCCAGGTGAGGGCTTCAGTACTGGCCAGGTGAGGGCTTCAGTACTGGCCAGGTGAGGGCTTCAGTACTGGCCAGGTGAGGGCTTCAGTACTGGCCAGGTGAGGGCTTCAGTACTGGCCAGGTGAGGGCTTCAGTACTGGCCAGGTGAGGGCTTCAGTACTGGCCAGGTGAGGGCTTCAGTACTGGCCAGGTGAGGGCTTCAGTACTGGCCAGGTGAGGGCTTCAGTACTGGCCAGGTGAGGGCTTCAGTACTGGCCAGGTGAGGGCTTCAGTACTGGCCAGGTGAGGAGACAGGTGCTGGTCAGGTGAGGAGACAGGTGCTGGTCAGGTGAGTAGTCAGGCACAGTTGGAGCGAGAGCTGAGACAAGGGTTTTTCCTCTTAATGACTGTCATGAACTTGTGCTCCTCACTTTTCCCTCTGCTCCTCCATGCGCCCCCCCTGTTCACGCACCTGTGTCCCCTGCTGAGGGTACGATCCCGCCCGTGCTACTATCATCCCACCCGTGCTACTCTCATCCCGCCCGTGCTACTATCATCCCACCCGTGCTGCAGGCGTTCTCCCCACGGGCCGCAACATCCATGCGCTAGACCCCTACCGCATGCCCTCAGCAGGTGAGGCATGGCGCGTTTTTGAGTCGACTCAAAAGTAAGTCACATCCATGCGCGGTCTCGAGTCCATCCATAGCAGCCAACATGATCCAGCATCACATGGACCAACACGGCACATACCCTGTGCCTCTCCCCCTCACTTTCTCCCACACCCGCTCACTCTCTCTCGCTCTTCCCCCCTTCCCTCTCCCCAGCTGCATGGGAGCGCGGCAGTGCCATAGCGGCCAACATCATTCAGCAGCACGTGGACCAACATGGTACATACCCCGAGACCATTGCCGTCATGCTGTGGGGGCTTGACGCCATCAAGGTGCGCATTAGATTGTTAGGCTGTCTCATCCCTCTTTCTGTCTCATCCCTCTTTCTGTCTCATCCCTCTTTCTGTCTCATCCCTCTTTCTGTCTCAGCACTTCCTGAAAAGCATCACCTTCGCCTCGTCCTTGATGCATGCCCTCACTTCCCGGCCCTGTCCCCTCTCCCTCCCTGCCGCTGCCTCTTGTTGCCTTCCTCTGCCTGTCAGACGCGTGGCGAGTCTGTTGCCATAGCCCTTGCGCTTGTGGGGGCCCACCCTGTGAAAGAGGTCAGTGGGGAGGGGGACGATGCGGAGTGGGTAGTGGCAAGGGGGGATCGCAGAGTCTTTGTAAAAGACATATTCTTCATGTTTTGTCAAATGACTATTGTTCTCCGCAGCCCTTGGCATGTCCTAGGTGCAACACTGTTCCCCCGTGTCCTAGGACATTGGAGGACACTGAAAGCATGAAACTGTCATTCCGCCACCCCGATATCCTCCTCCCCCTCCCCCTCCCCCTGCCGCTTTTTACTACCCTCGCAGGGCACGGGGCGAGTGGTGTGCTTTATCCTCACTCCCCTGGAGGGCATGTAACCCACAAGTAACCCACAAGTATCAGGCCCTCATCATCCCTCACTCCTCTCCGCTGCACCCCTGCAGGGCACGGGGCGAGTGGTGCGCTTTGACCTCACTCCCCTGGAGCAGCTGGGCCGCCCGAGAATAGACGTGCTCGCCAACCTCTCAGGCATCTTCCGAGACAGGTGGGACATGTGTTGATGTTATGAGGCACCTTGAAAACGAGAATCGACGTGCTCGCCAGCCTCTCAGGCAACTTCGGAGGCCGGTGAGCAAAGGAGAGTACTCATAGCCTCCTGTAGGAGCTGCCATAAATAAATATCTTGCTCTTTGCTAACGCAAACCAGTTTTGCCAATGTTGTGGAGCTCTTGGGGTGACCTGGCCATGGTGCCACAACACACGCCAGCCTTCCGTTCCCTCCCCCTTCCCCCTCCCCCCGTCTCCCCTCCCCTTTCCCCCCTCGCCCCGCTCCTGCAAACCAGTTTCGCCAATGTGGTGGAGCTGCTAGATGACCTGTTCAGGCGGGCAGCAGAGGCGGATGAGCCATCGGAAATGAACTTCATCAAGAAACACTCGCTGGCGCTGCAGGTATTTTGATGCAGTTCCTTCCTCTGGCTCCGTCCTCCGCTTTCCTGACTGATCTCGTTACCCGTTGCGTGTGGCCTGCTGTAGCTGTACCTGTACCTGTAGTTGTAGCTGTAGCTGTAGATGTTTCTGACTTCCGTGTTCGTGGCCCTGCCTATTGGCATGAGCTACTCGTTAGACGCTGTCACCTTCGTTTCTCCTGATGACTGACCCTGCAGGCTGAGGGCATTGATGCTTCAACGGCCAGGATCTTCTCCAATCCAGCGGGCGACTACGGATCAATGGTCAATGAGCGCATCGGCGCAGCTGACTGGTTCGTTCCGCCACCCTTTTATCCTCCTCTTTCCTCCCTCTAAGTCCTTCTCACTCTGCTGCCCCTCAACCAATCATGTGGCGATGCAACCTGCCATGCCACCTTGCTCATGACTCGGTCTGCTCCCCATGTGCGTGGCAGGGAGAACGGGGAGGAGTTGGGGGACACGTGGCAGTCTAGAAACTCCTTTAGCTATGGCAGGGGCGAGCAGGGCGTGGCTCGACCCGAGGTAAGGTCTTGCTTGTCATGCGCTGTTCTTGTTCTCGTTCTGAGTGCTCCCATGCTGCTTGCACTTTCCCTCACCATTTATTGCACCATTGAGTGTCTTGGATGCCTCTTTAGCAGTCTCCACTTGCCCTTCTTTTGCTTCGATGCATGCCCCCCCACCAGGTGATGCGCAAGCTGCTGCAGGTCAAGTCGCACACTTCATCTTCTCCACCCTCCCCCTCTCCCCCTGAACCCTCCCCCCACCAGGTGATGCGCAAGCTGCTGCAGACGACGGACCGCATCGTGCAGGAGATAGACAGCGTGGAGTACGGGCTCACTGACATCCAGGTACGGGCTCACTGACATCCAGGTATGGGCTTACTGGCATCCAGGTATGGGCTCACTGGCATCCAGGTATGGTGTGCTGCATGGTGGTAAGGGTGAGAGGTGCAGGGGCTCACGGGCGTCCAGGTATGGGCTCACAGGCATCCAGGTATGGGCTCACAGGCATCCAGGTATGGGCTCACGGGCATCCAGGTATGGGCTCACGGGCATCCAGGTATGGGCTCACGGGCATCCAGGTATGGGCTCACGGGCATCCAGGTATGGGCTCACGGGCATCCAGGTATGGGCTCACAGGCATCCAGGTATGGGCTCACGGGCATCCAGGTATGGGCCCACGGGCATCCAGGTATGGGCTCACGGGCATCCAGGTATGGGCTCACGGGCATCCAGGTATGGGTTCACGGGCATCCAGGTATGGGCTCACGGGCATCCAGGTATGGGCTGCATGGATTTCAGGGTGCGAAGCACAGACTACGAGCACATTAATGCGCATACCTTTCATCCATCCCAACCCGCTCCACGCACCCAACTAGCTCCACTGTACGTTCAGATCTCTCAATGTGTGTTGCCTCAAACCAAGGCGTCTGCTCCCTCTCCGGTGCCCGCTGCTTGGTTGTCCTGCTGGCTGCTCTGTGTGCTGCGTGGTGGCATGATGGCATGATGGCAGGAGTACTATGCCAACACGGGCGCCATGAAGAATGCTGCAGAGACTGCACGCAATGGGGCTAAGGTAACGCGTGCCCTGCTCCTCATGCATGCCATGCCATGCTCCCCGTGCATGCCATGCCCTGCTCCCCATGCATGCCATGCCGTGCTCCCCATGCATGCCATGCCGTGCTCCCCATGCATGCCATGCCGTGCTCCCCATGCATGCCATGCCGTGCTCCCCATGCATGCCATGCCGTGCTCCCCATGCATGCCATGCCGCGCGCGCTCCCCATGCATGCCATGCCATGCTCCCCATGCATGCCATGCCATGCTCCCCATGCATGCCATGCCCTGCTCCCCATGCATGCCATGCCGTGCTCCCCATGCGTGCCATGCCGTGCTCCCCATGGATGCCATGCCGTGCTCCCCATGCATGCCATGCCCTGCTCCTCATGCATGCCATGCCATGCTCCCCATGCATGCCATGCCCTGCTCCCCATGCATGCCATGCCGTGCTCCCCATCCATGCCATGCCGTGCTCCCCATGCATGCCATGCCCTGCTCCCCATGCATGCCATGCCCTGCTCCCCATGCAGGCCATGCCATGCTCCCCATGCAGGCCATGCCGTGCTCCCCATGGTTGCCATGCCCTCCATGGAAGCCCTGCTCCCCATATCTCGTGTTTTCTGCGATGCCAGCACGTGCGATGACCTTTCATGCCATCCCTCCCCCCTTCCTTCTCAATCCCCCTCCCTCGCTGCTCCCTCGCAGGTGTCCTGCAGTGTGGTAGAGACATACGGCAAGGACCTGCGCCCGCGAGACCTGGAAGCCACGTTGAGACTCGAGTACCGCTCCAAGGTGGGCTGGCCTCTCCTGCTGCAGGCTTCTGTCTCCTGGCTCTCTCCCTCAGTAGCCTCTGACCACTGCAATCTGTGCTCTCTGGTTCTCTGCGTGCGCACCTTGTTACTCCTGCAATCTACAACCCCCCTTGCCCTATCGCACCTCTTCCCTCCACCTCCCTCCTCGCTTTTTCTCCCTCCCCGCAGCTGCTGAACTCCAAATGGGCGGAGGGGCGTAGAATTCAATCCATGGCTCATTTCCCCACCATTTCCTCTGTATTTGCCCCTCCTCCCTCCCCCCCCTACCAGCTGCTGAACCCCAAGTGGGCGGAGAGGATGGCAGCGCAGGGCAGCGGCGGCGCATACGAGATTTCGCAGCGCATGACAGCGCTGCTGGGGTGGGGCGGCACCACGGGCTTCCAGGAGGACTGGGTGTTCGACCAGGCCGCTGACACTTATGCTCTGGATGATGCCATGGCCGCCAAGCTCAGGAAGAACAACCCCCAGGTACAGCCATGTGGCTTGCATGCCAGGAGGAACAGCCCCCAGGTACAGATACATGAATTATCCATTGATTGATGATGCGCTTACTTCCTTCTCCCTGCAGCATGCAAAGTTGCCGATGCCCTTCATTTTGTGTGGCCCTCCAGTTTGCCCCTCGCCCTCCTCCCTCGCTCTCACCACCCTCGCCCACCACCCCGGAGCATGCTCTAGCACATGCTAGAGGCTGTGCTTCCTGGCGTCCCATCTCCCATCCACCAGCTATTACCTCCACGGCTCTCTCACAGCATCCCCTCCCTCCTGTCCTTACTGCCCCTGCCCTCACCTCCCCTGTCTTTACCTCCTCTGCCCTCACCTCCCCTGCCCTCACCTCCCCTGCCCTCAACTCCCCTGCCCTCCCCTCCACTGCCCTTGCACTTCCACGGCAGGCCTTCCAGAACATTCTGAAACGCATGCTGGAGGCGGCGGGGCGCGGCATGTGGCAAGCGAGCGACGAGGTGATTGAGAAGCTAAGGGAGCTCTATGCTGAGATGGACGACGAGCTGGAAGGGGTCAAGCTGCGCTGACGAGCTCCAAGGGGTCGAGCTGCGCTGACGAGCTCCAAGGGGTCGAGCTGCGCTGACGAGCTCCAAGGGGTCAAGCTGCGCTGACGAGCTCCAAGGGGACAAGCTGCGCTGACGAGCTCCAAGGGGTCAAGCTGCTGTGACGAGCTCCAAGCTTAGAGCGTATTCCTTAAAACCACAGGCTAAAGAAGCACACCCTGGGTGCTCTTGAAAACTCTGTTTTTTGGGGGTCAGAATCTACTGCCCAGCCTGGAGCACTTTGTACCAAATGAAACGAAAAAAAAAGGAGTGCGACAGTTTGAAACATCGCGAGATGGCCACGACTCACCCTGCTGGTACACGACTTCGGTTGAACACGGTGCGACAAGCCCAAGAGTCGCACAACTCAACCAAAATGCACTCCATGCGACCACACCCCACATCCCGTCGTTCAAGAGCTCCATGGGTGTGCAACAGGTTTCCTGAAGTCCATTATCTAGTAGTTTATCACTCGTAGAAAGCCATAGCTGCCACTACACAAGTCATAAAAAAATATCCGCCCGCTCATCGACGTACAACACCCCTCGCTACGTATAGAGTGTTTTAGCCTCGCGAAAAGGCGACCTCGGGAGTAGTATTGGCGTCAATAGTGGGACGATCTAGGATTGGCGAGGAGAGGGGAACGGACGGCAAAGAGGGGGAATGGACGGCGACGAGGGGGGGAACGGACGGCGAGGAGAGGGGGAACGGATGGTGAGGAGAGGGGGAACGGACGGCGACGAGGGGGGGAACGGACGGCGAGGAGAGGGGAAACGGATGCCGACGAGGGGGGGAACGGACGGCGAGGAGAGGGGGAACGGACGGCGAGGAGAGGGGGAACGGACGGCGACGAGGGGGGGAACGGACGGCGACGAGGGGGGGAACGGACGAGGAGGAGGGGGGGAACGGACGGCGAGGAGAGGGGGAACGGACGGCGAGGAGAGGGGGAACGGATGGCGACGAGGGGGGGAACGGACGGCGAGGAGAGGGGGAACGGACGGCGAGGAGGGGGGGAACGGACGGCGACGAGGGGGGGAACGGACGGCGAGGAGAGGGGGAACGGACGACGAGGAGAGGGGTAAGGGACGGCGAGGAGAGGGGGAACGGACGGCGAGGAGAGGGGGAACGGACGGCGAGGAGAGGGGGAACGGATGGCGACGAGGGGGGGAACGGACGGCGAGGAGAGGGGGAACGGACGGCGAGGAGAGGGGGAACGGACGGCGACGAGGGGGGGAACGGATGGCGAGAAGAGGGGGAACGGACGTCAAGGAGAGGGGGAACGGACGGCAAGGAGAGGGGGAACGGATGGCGAGGAGACGGGGATGAGAGGGCGAGAAGAGAGCAAGGGAGAGCGAGGAGGGCAGAGAACGGAGGGCGAGGGGAAGGGGGGAGAGGGCAAGTGGCAGAGGGGTAACCAAGGGCGAGGTGTGGGAGAGGGTGAGGGAAGGCGGATGAGAGAGCGGGGAGAGGCGGATGTGAGGGTGAGGAGAGGCAGGGTGAGAGGGAGAGGAGCCTGCTCTCTGCTGCCCACCCGCTCTCTGCTGTCCTCCCTGCTCTCTGCTGCCCGCCCGCTCTCTGCTGTCCCCCCTGCTCTCTGCTGCCCGCCCGCTCTCTGCTGTCCCCCCTGCTCTTTGCTGCCCGCCCACCTCCCTACCTCGCTCCGCTATCCCATCCTTTCCCCCATCCTCCCTCCCCTTTTCTCCCATCCTGTCAAGCATTTCCCCCATCCACTACCCCTTTCACTTATGCCCTCGATTTTGCTCCTCTTTAGGTCACCTATTTTGCAATCGCTTCTCCCCACCTCTCAACCAGTTTCCCCTTCAACCCTATTGTTCACCCACTTGGTCGCCCGCTCTACTATGGCTGTATGCCTCTACTAGTCACCCAGCATTTACCCCCTGTTTTTTACTCCCCCGCCTTTTGCCGACCCATCCTGACAGCCATCCGCTGCAGTTCTGGCACCAAGGGTATGGTGTGCAAGTCTTGCTGATTCAACTGCCAAATTTTTGTTATTTTGCATCCATTCATGAGTGCAACCCAACTTTACAACCTATTGCACCAAGAAACAATTTGCATTTACTTGCATTCAGCTTGCGAGCGCTCGTTTTCTCATGACCATTGTGATGAACAATACATTTGGATAGGTAATTAAAAAAAAAATCCTACTGTGTGTTACGGTGTTTTTGGATACGAGTATTTTGGCGCTTCCAGTCAAAGTGTTGGAAAATCTTGACGAGCGTGTTCGCACTTGACGCCGCTGCCATGCCTTCGCAGCAGATTTCACTCCAAGAGGCGTCTCCGCCCTGTATCCCGACGTTTCCGAACAGGGTGAAGAGATTCACTTCACCAGAATGAACACGCCCCAGCTGCAGCTTTCTTCCCTGTTGGAACTGTCGCGCATGGGTTTGGGACCTCATCGCACACGTTCCGAAATCGCCCATCCTCCCGTAGGTGTGGCTTATGGTGGGTTCTTATCTGCCCAGTTTGTAAAAAAGTTCAATGGCAATTTCGCTCTAGCAACCCAACTTTTTCACAGATGCCCCCACTTCAAGAGCGGCTCACTTGAAGCCCCCCCTATGCTATTTTAGCCTGTGGTTTTAAGCCCTTCCGAAAATAGTAATGACGTATCGTATTAGTGGTACACCATCTTGTTTACACCCCCATTACCCCTTGTGGCTAGCGTCCATACTCCATAAGATTCTGCAGATCCGATACCTTGACTGGAGGAATGAATTGCTGTTGCTTATCCAATTTTGGTGTGCTACAATGAAGGTGGGATGTGGTATGTGCCGAGATTCGGAATTGGTAACAAAATCGGTTCAAATTTATTACAACAAATGGCAACACAGCTTCCGGATGGTTCAAGCGGCGCTCCGTCTATAGCACACTGATGGTCACACCCAAGCACCCATTGCATTTGTTGTAATCAGCCACTTGTCTCGAACCCCAGCCAATTGCCATTCCCTGCACCGCCCTCCCCGCTCCCCTTCCTACAGCTCAATGTAAGTTTCGACCCTAGGATTGAGGGACGAGTTGTCCGGGCCTTGTTCGAACGTGACGACTGCCTGGAACCTATGCTTCGTTGAAAATGTCTTTTGAAACCACCTACCAACCTTATTGCCAGCCGTGGCCTTGAACGCCCTGAGGTCCAGGTTGATGGCAACTCTTGGAGGCCTATGGAATGGGCCGCCCACTGTAGCCTCGGCGATTCTGTCCAAGGAGTACATCCCAAAAATCGTGGTGGCGAAATGTTACCCCCAACTTTACCACAAGTGACTTTGGGGTTTCGCGCCAGCGGGTGACCCTGGGGCTTCCGACTGGGTATCCCACGCGAAACCATCAGTCAGAATGCCCTTCGAGGTAACCCTCAGGTGTCCCATGTGTTGTAACCCACGCGACACCACCGGGTCACCTTCACGTGACACGCGGGGGTCTACGTGGGAACAATTTGACCCGTGCGCATCTCCGGCAAAACTGGGTTCGCGCTCAAGTATAAGGAGAACACTACGTCGTTTGCAAAATGCTGTCGTTATGGTTAGAAAAATAGCAAGCCATCCCCGTCAAAGGCGTCCCGATACGGATACATCCTCCGACTTAGTATACCACACTAACCGCCACCGTTTTCACAATTGGGATTCGCATATGGTTTCCACTACACTTATAGCACCTGCACGGACACAATAACGACCCATCTTCAAACAAAGCCTTTACTGTAGCTAATCAGACGAGCCGCGTTGGGGTTCCGAAACAAAATGCAGCGAATATTTTATAAACTGCCTGTTATTGGCTCTGCGAAAACTGTCACTAAAGACACAAGGTGTGGTAACCTTCCAAAAATCACAAGGGGTTTATTAACCATAGAAACCCATCATAGCTACTCAGTGGACTGGCGGGTCATATGCTGTGCCTCTCTGTGACTGGCTGGTCGAATGGCAAATGCAGTGCAGTGGGAGGGAGGGGGACTACAAACAAGACATGCCAAACACAAGACAGATTTGTGGTGCATGTTGTTGTGCCGCTGGTAGCCTTCAGTTGCACACAACACTACTGCCATAAACAGCGTCAGCTGTGCGAAGTGTAAATGTTGTCCTGCATTCACCCCACAAAAGGCCAGCATAAGCATGCCTCTGTAAAACAATACAGAAAAACCCCAGGATTTGCTTTCAGGCATGTGTCATCTTACCCTCCAACGGTGAAAGCTTGCCACTGAAAATCCCAGCACGTGGGTAACGCCCAGATGCTGCCAAGCCCATTTGCCATATGGACGCCACCTCCAGTTACCCATGTCAAGACTGGCAAAAGCCGCGTTGAGTACACGTGCGCGTCGCCAACACACGGTGCAAACTAGAGCACAACACAGTGGTTTAGGGGTATGGCAGGGATAGGCGGCACGCTGAAACAACATCCCTCCCATCGGAAAACCCATGTAGAAAAGAACTGCAAGCACACCAGACCACACCTGACGATGGGGAGTCGGAGCAGTCAGCCCTGAGTCACCTGACACTGATATGAACACAGAGGCGGAAAAGACAGAGGCTGGGTGAGGAAAAGGGGGAGCACATGGCGGCTTGAGAAAAAAAAAGAAAAAAAAAACATGAATGGCATGAACCTGGGAACAATTTCATAAGAAACTAAGAGGGACAACCCAACAGAAACAAGCGGAGAGGTGTGGGGAAGGGGGGGATCGTAATGAGGGAGGGAGGAGGAGGGGGGAGGTGGGAGGGGGGGGGATAGGGTGGGAGGTTCAGAGGGGAAGGGGGGGAGGAGGTAGATATGTGGCAAAGGGCTAGGGATGCGGAGTCGCTACAGCCATACCTGATTTCGGTGACGCGCCCCGATAGCATGTTAGAAGCGCACGAAATGACCCTCGGCGTACCCCCGGTTATGCTCATGTGTCGCGTCCGACGTGCTCCAACAGAGAATCCCACGCGTACTCCGCGATAAGCGCAGGCGTCCCGCCAGCCGATACAAAAGAAAAGAAGCGCATGCGTCATGCCCTGGAGGGGGCCAGAGGGGGCGGGAAGGTGGGGGGAGTGGGGAAGAGAAGAGGGGAGAAAGGGCGGGTAGAGCATGAGTAGAAGGCGGCAGTTTTGGTCATCGAGCATGGATCACCGAGACATAGTCGGAGACCCGCAAGATGCGTCGATGAACTGCGACTCGTAGTCGGATAGAACCGAATCGGATTCGGATTCGGAAGCATGATGACTCACTTCTTTCTTGTTTATCTCGCCGAGGGCCCACGGCGCGAGAGCTTGGGCCTCCGTACACACGCCGCGGA